AGCTTGCCAACATGTTGTTCCCAGAACATGTCAGAATGGCATCTCCTTAGAGGCACAGCCTAAGTGCCACTTTTTTTCTCTCGGAAACTTTTCTCCACCACTAGCTTTTCTGAACCTGTGTACTACTGACTTCTCTGTGGGTTTGTGGATGAATCAGAATAGAAAATGGCTGGAGATAGAAGATAACCAGACAGAACAAGCTCATTGCCAGTTTATACTAAATACGTCTGAGATACCTCAGCTAGGACTGGTGTCCTTGGTTCAGACGTTCTTAACTGGAGTCTTGGAGGCCCTTGAAGTTGGCTGCAAAATTCTGCTGTATGCACCAAACTTTTAGGGTCAGAGGGAGGGAGGAAGTGTCTGTAACTATAGCCAACTTCTTATAGAGATAGGCTTAATGATACAATAAAGGCTAGGAACCCCTGACTTAGGAAAAAGAAGGCATAACTTAGTGGGGGAAAAAATAAAGGAACAACAAACTCCACTAAATTTTGGAGTCACAAGACTAGATTAGTATCCTAGCTCTGTACAGCACTGGCATGTCACTAGCCTTTCTGAATCGCAATGTGCTCATTTAGAAAAATTGTATCTACTCTGCCTACTCAATTGGGTTTCTATGGGGCCTACTTCACATAAAATTGTTTTATCAATGATCATATGCCCTGCTAACATGTATGTTACTTGACTCCAGACCATACGGCTCTGTTTATATGTTCCCATTTACACAACGTCTTACTTATTTAGAAATAATAGGTGCTTATTTGTCTTATCACCCCCTCTCGCCAGTTGTCTGAGGGTTTCATTGGTCCAGAGTCCATTGCCATTACCCGAATCAGGTCAAGATTTAGTATCAGATTGAAGGTCATGGCTCTCTTCAACAGTCTGATGATGGGAGGCCCAACCTGACCACCTTATTTAATCCTGATTACCTCCCAAAGGCCCTACCTCTAATCAACTTGTGAATTTGGGGATTAAGTTTCAAATACATAAAATTTAAGGGAATACATGCAAACCATAGCAATAACCAATTCACTTTATAATGGAGTTCACTTTGCACCCTTCTCTCAATAATACTGGATTCATCTTTTTTTTTTTTTTTTTTTTTTTTGAGATGGAGTTTTGCTCTCGTTGCCCAGGCTGGAGTGCAATGGCATGATCTCGGCTCACTGAAACCTCCGCCTCCCGAATTCAAGCGATTCTCCTGCCTCAGCCTCCCAAGTAGCTAGGACTACAGGCACCCCTACACTCAGCTAATTTTTTTGGTATTTTTAGTAGACGGGCTTTCACCATGTTGGCCAGGCTGGTCTTGAACTCCCGACCTCAGGTGATCCGCTCGCCTTGGCCTCCCAAAGCGCTGGGATTATGGGCATGAGCCACCGCGCCTGGCTGGATTGTTCATCTTGTATGACAAATATATAAAGGTTTTTCCACCTAAATGTCTGGGCTATGTCCTACCTAAAATGACCAGATGACTGAATGTTCGTCAGATTCTGAACCTCAGGTCACTTGTACATAAAGTGAACCCTCAGAAATGAACCTCCTAAGTGATCTCCAGACCCAATCATACAAAGGGGTTACAGATTTCATTCTTCTGTAAGAGCTCTTTTTCCTCAGCTGGGAGCCTCTGATTTGAGAAAATTGCTTATTAGTATTTCAGCAACTCTTGAAAAAAGTTTTAGTGATACTTATGAATTTTCTTCAAGCAGTACAATATGAGATGAGTAATTTCACCTCAGTAGTACCCCAAAGTAGTAGTTGTTGACACCTTAGCTGCTCGGCAGGGAGGAGCTTGTGCTCAAATTGGTGAGAAGTGGTGTTTTTTTGTTAACAAAACATTAAGTGTTATGTTGTATTTGATATTGTTGTCCAAAATGTAAAAGTTCCTAAAGAACACAAGGTTTTCATCTCATTAGCACTGCCTCTCTTGATTTATTCAGTTGGTTAAATCTTGGCTCCTGGGAATCTTTACTCGGGGTTATTTTTCAGTCCTTTGCTATTATAGTTATTGTGTTTACCCGTACACAGTGGGTACCCATACACAATGGCTTACACAACACAGTGCATTGTATTCTCTCAATAATTTTACAAATTTATTATTTTTTTTTTAGCGACAGTGTCGTGCTCTTTGACCCAGGCAGGAGCGCAGTGGTGTAATCCTACCTAGCTCACTGTAGCCTGGAACTCCTGGACTAAAGTGATCCTCCCACCTTGGTCTCCTGAGTAGCTTGGCCTACAGGTGTGCATCACCACACTCAGCTAATTTTTTTTTCTTTCCAATTTAGAAAGTTTATTTTGCCAAGATTAAGGACATGCACGGGCACGAGACACAGCCTCAGGAGGTCCTGATGACATGTACTCAAGGTAATCAGGGTTTCCCTTGCTTTTATACATAAGAATATGGAACATTTCATGAATTTGCATGTCATCCTTGTTCAGGGGCCATGCTAATCTTCTCTGTATTGTTCCAATTTTAGTATATGTGCTGCTGTAGTGAGCACTGCCCAGCTAATTTGTATTTTTTTGAGATGAGGTCTCAATCTGTCACCCAGGATGGAGTGCTGTGGCACAATCTCGGCTCACTGCAACCTCTGCCTCTCAGGCTTAAGCGATCCTCCTACATCAGCCTCCTGAGTAGCTGGGACCAGAGGTGTGTGCCACCATGCCCGGCTAATTTTTTGTATTTTTGGTAGAGATGGGTTTCATTATATTGCTTAGGCTGGTCTCGAACTCCTGAGCTCTAGCAATCCACCCGCCTTGGCCTCCCACAATTCTGGGATTACAGGCGTGAGCCTCCATGCCCAGCCCTGACCAGCTAATTAAAACAAAGTTTTTATTTTTATTTTTGTAGACATAGGGTCTTGTTGTCTAGCTGGTCTTGAACTCCTGCTCAAGCAATTCCCCTACTCTGGCCTCCAAAGTTCTGAGGTTACAGGTGTTATCCACAGAGCCTGGTCCTTTCAAGGATTTTTAAATGCTTTCCAGCAGTCACTCATATGTCAAAAGATTGCCATAAGGATCAGACAACTGGAGGAAACCAGCATGGACTATGTCATTCCCGAGGGTGACTCTGAGCCCTAGGGCAGCTATTGATAAACATCTGACTTTTCTTCCTAGACTATGTCAATAGTGGTAACTGAGAGTAATGCCATGCCATTTGGTCACACACTCAGCTTGCTGACAGGGTGACTAAAAGTGGGGAACTGTCAAAGCAAAATTAAAATGGAAACTAGGCTTGAAATGTTCCTGAGCAAACAAAACTACTAGGCCTTAAAAATAGCCCTAACCTACTTAAACTGTAAACATAAATGAAACTTAACTTGGGTCATTTTTGATAAATGCTTATGTTAGAAACAAAACTTAACCTCAGCCAATCATAAGCAGCCAACTAACATGATCATGAGACTGGGGACTTTCCAAGAAAGTAAGCCAAAAAAGGCAACCAATCAAATCATTTCTTAATTTTGCTTCTGTATCCACACTATGAATACTTCCTTCTGATGTTGTGTCACTGAAACACTAAATCCTCATTGGGTTTGGGGTTTCCCAAGTGACAAATTGCTTCTTAAGTACATTCTAAAATTTTATTGTGCCTTTTTTTTCCCTTTTACAATAGTCCATGTGTAACACTTTTAGCTCGAGATCTCCAATCCCCTAGCATAAGTAATTTTTTGGTGTGTGAAGTTTCCTCGTACAGGGAATCCCTCAGACAACCGCATAAGCCCTAGTCCTAGTGCTCAGAATGATGACAGGTCTGCCAGTATTTAACGCTTTTAAAATACTGTTGGTGGTGGTTGTGTTGATGACGAAAGGCAGTGGGGAGGATTGGCCTGGGTTCAATCTCTAGCTCCGAGCTATCAATGTATAACCTGGAGCCAATAATGTCTACCTCACAGAAACACAGATTATAAAATAAAAGCATGTGACACCTAAGTGTACAATAAATGTGTGAAGCTGTTTAAGAAGTCCAAACATGGAATCATTACATGTAAGACAGCCTGCCTTGTGAATGTCAGCAGCTATCACAGCCACATTCACATGCACGTAAATTATCAAGGGGCATTATGCTTGGCACTGTCTAAAAGAAAGCAGGCAAGTGATCAAGTGATTTTTATTACAAAAATTTTATAAAAATGGATTTCCAGGTGAAGATGACAGAATAAAGCAGGACTACAGAATCTTCTTCCTCTAATGTCTAATAAAATTAATAAAAGATTTTACATACCACAAGATGTTTTTCAGATCGCTACGGATAAATCACAATGCTTTATGAAAATCCAGATGGAAGGAAACACACAGTTCTGCCATGCATATTAAGATGCATTCACTCTCCCGCCCTAAAAATAATCATATAACCTTATGGTAGACAGTAGTCAATTAGTTGCCATCCAATACTTAAAAATTAGATTTCATATACTCTAAATTGCTATCTTTTCTAGAAAAATAAATTCTGTTCACACTAGGCCTGCTTCCCAGGAATCATGTGCTCCAGTTTACCAAAGTCTCTACAACTGTTACCTTCATTGCTTGCCCAGCTCCTGTAAGCACTTGCAATCCCTAGGTGGGCATTAATTCCCATTCTTACAGAAAAAGAAAATTTGAGGCTCAGGAAGAACAAGTAACCGTTCAGTGTTAAAATTACAGCGGTGGAGCTGGGTTTCCATTCAGACATTTCAAATAAATGATGTATTTTTCCATACTCTACCAACTGAAAATAAGGTGAATTCACCCATTTAATCCCACTTACTGCTCTGCTCTGCCAGGAGCCAGTTTATATGTGTGAGAATGAATGTTGCTCCTAACACGTGTATTATTCTGTGCTCTTAGGCTACAAAAGCAATGCAATGTGAACTTTTTAATCTTTCCATCTAAAAGTATGTGATTCAGAACTTGCCACATAGTTTGTCCTGCTGTAGACCAAGAACCATTTTTTGGGACACTAAGTCAAAGCTGCTTATTGTATCTCATGGTTGTGTCAAAAAACAACACAGTATCATACTTAAGTGCTACACTTTTAATTTTATTAAAAAACAAGCAGGTATCTTCAACATATCAAATGCTTTAATTCACATTTCTGCCTGCAGGCACTGCACAAAAATACAGACCCAACAAAACAAAAGCAATTAACACAGGGTTAATTAAGTGGTTAGGTACATAGGACTGTGGTGGGCAGGGGAAAGTGCAAGAGGCCAGCTGGCTGCGCAAGTGGAGTCATCACACGTGTCCTCAACATTGTGGGTTTAGGGATCCAGTGCAATCAGTTCACTTCTAAGAGGACTGGGGTTGAGAACTCGAGCTAGGCTGCTCTAAACTTGTACAGACAGGATTACAAATGAGAGTGCCAATTTATCTGTAGGGTTCGTTTAAGCAGTTCAAATCTGAACTGCTGGCAGAGCCCTAAATTGGATTGAGAACAAACGTTTTTATGAGCCATCTTGGATCATCCAACTCCACAATGTGCCTGCCTTACTCTAGGGTTTTTCTCAGCCAAATCTACTCATCTGATCAGGATGCTCCCTTGCCTGGACAATGTCAGAGGAATAAAGAAAACAACTGAGCTTTCCGGCTCTTCCTTTTCAACATTCCACGTTAGTCACCAAAAAGTAACACATAATGGAAATTCCCTCGATTACAGCTTATTTCCTGTTTAGTGCATTCTGTGTTGATGTCGTCCTTTAATAGTGAGGTAGCTGAGGGCATTCTTAGAGAGACTGAAGTGTTCTTGGTCTGACATCTGATACCAGCAACACAATTTTTTTTTTTTATTGAGACGGAGTCTTGCTCTGTTGCCCAGGCTGGAGTGCAGTGGCGTGATCATGGTTCACTGCAAGCTCCGCCGCCTGGGTTCCGGCGATTCTTGTGCCTCAGCCTCCTGTTTAGCTGGGACTAAAGGCATGTGCCACTGTGCCTGGCTAATTTTTTTTTTGTATTTTTAGTACAGATGGGGTTTCACCATGTTGGCCAGGCTGGTCTCGAACTCCTGACCTCAGGTGATACACCTGCTTTGGCCTCCCCAAGTGCTGGGATTACAGGGGTAAGCCACTGCGCCCAGCCTCAGCAACACATTTCTATTTATAGTTTCTAGGTGATTTATTTTCTGCAGACATTCTTGTAGATGGTTAAGCTCAATCATTTCATTTAAGTTTTATAAACGTCTGTATTAGAGGATGGCATTTTAAAATTCTTTCCCCAGAATGCTGGAATATACCTTTTTGGGCTAGGCTATGCAAACCTCATGCACTGGTTACACAGGGCCATATGGGTAAATATGTATGTACTGATGTGTATTTACGTATCTAAAATTAAATACAGACTATATATTTAAATTAGAAACATGAGGAACGAAGGCTAAGTTCACTGCTTTACTATTCAATAAAATAGCTTTAAAAACTGTGAAATAGCCAAGTGGCCACATTCTAAGCAGCAACAGAGACCTCCAAAATATTCTGTCCACCAAAAACACATGAAGTTTCTGAATATGTAAAAATTAGTAGAAAATCAATTAGGTGACAAAGTCATTATAGTAGTGGCTTTCAAACCCTTTATAAAAAATAGTAGAATCGTTTTAAATGTGGAAGTATTTTATCTATTGAGATCTGAAGCAGCACTCAGTATACACAAGTGTGGCTGCATTGATTGAAGTGAGAAGGCAGGAGCCTCACTATAACTAACTCCTGAAGCAACTCCTTGTCCCCCGACACTGCATGGGTCACAGTCCAAAAACTGACTCCACATATGAATCATACCAATTTTTATGTAACAGAGTTCAGACAAATATATCAATCTGGGTGCAATACAAACAAGTTTTTCATAGAGTTCTTTTAGAAAGTGATTTTGAGGGAAGAGGACAGTGAAGTAGAAGAAAAACAATTTTAAGAACATACAATTAATTCAATTTTTCAGCATGGTATCCCACCTAGCAAAAGCCCTAGGTGAATACAAGAGGTTCAGACCAGAAGCTTTCAAATTTCAGTATGCTTAAGAATCACCTGAGGTGCTTGTTAATAAAAACAGATTTCTATGTTGCGTCTCCAGAGACAGGGAATCATTAAGTTAAAGGTTGGGCTCAGGAATCCATATTTTCAACAGCCTGCCCAGGCATTCTGATGCCGCAGATAGCGTGCAGAGCATACTCTGAGGAACAGGAGAAAGGCTTCAAGGGAAAAATTAAAAAAGACAGTGGGACACTGTTTAAAAGCAAAACCCAAACCCCACCTTTTGTCTTGTTGCTGAGAATGAATTCAGATTGGGATAAACAACCTTTTTTTTCTTTTTAAATATCTAGATATTTTAAATAAATCTACTTATAGTCCACTGTCCTCAACTGGGTGGAAATATTAAAAAAATTATCAATATAAAACATTGGTTCTTGCTTCAGTATTATCATTTTGAAGGAAAACCACACAAAACCATTACCCATTCTAATGACCTTTTTGGCCAAACAAATTATGTATTTGGGTCCACATAAACCTTTGAATTAGTATAACTTTTAAAGTTTTCAAGTTAGTGCAAATTTAAAATTCAATAAATATATTAAATACAATTTTACTTTATATTACAAATGCAAATTATTTTTCTTTTGACATGCTGATAGTATTCATTTTTACAACGCAAATTGATTTCACAATTTGAGTCACAGTAGACTATAACTCTAAGCAAATGTATTTCACAAAGCAAACACTATGTTTTTGAAACACTCTAAAAAAATAAAAATAAATAATTTTGACTATAAAATTTGTATAAACATTGGCTACATTAGGGGTTCACAGCTAATTGTTGCAGAAAACTTAAAACACACTTAAATCATGTAACCTTACTAGTAGAAAACTTGTATTTTAAAACACAAGTCAGTTTGATTTCTATTAAACATGACAAAACACTGAAAATTATCATCATCTGCCTATGGGATCTATAAGAGCTGCCAGGTATTCAGTATTTAAGCCACTATATTTATAGGAGTAAGGAATGTATTGGGATAGTAAAAAGATGAGAGAAATCTGGAAACAGACATGGAGATATGATTTACTTCATGTATTTCTTCCTGAGAATGTTGAAGTTATTTTTTTAAATATCAAGACAATTTAAAATGGAACAGGAAAATCTTATGGCAATTTTTTTGGTAAAGTGTAGAATCCCTGGTAATATAAACAATCACTACCCTAATATGTAACTTGCAAACATGAAGTCTTATAAATTGTACTTACTTAAACAAGACACATGCCTATACATTTATTTGAAATGCTGGGTAAATGTGCCCAAAAAAGTAAGTGAATTTTGCAAAAACAAGATGATACCTTTTGATATGGTATTCTGAAATAGCTTCCCTAAATGAAGTCTAAATGAGTGAATAAGCCAGCAGAAAAACTTCATGACAGATCAGTAGTGATGCAAAAACCTTACTAGATTACAATAACCAAAAAAACAACTTGTTTAGATAAATGGGGGCATTTTACATAAGCCTGTTCTAAATATAATGTAATATTATGGTTGGTATTAAAATTCCAATTTTTTAATTGTAGTTTTCACAATTAAAAAACTATGTTAGTTATTGTGATTATTTTAATTCCGACATCCTAAATTGATTTACTTTGCTTCTACTACAATTAGCACTATGAATTTTATAACAGGTAAACTATAACCTACAGCAAAGTGAATTTAACAGTGTATTTTTAAAATGTGATATCTTTAACAATTTTGATCATGAATGAATGGATATAAACTTCATAATACTCAGAACATGATTGGCCCATTAAAAAAACAAAACTCTGCCATCCTCACTGCCATGGTTACCTACCATGAAAGGTGTATAAATAAGCTGAAAACAGATCTGCTCATAAAGTTTCTCAAGACTAGAATTTAAGATCACCCGAGGAGATCTGGAAGAGGTTAATTTGGCAAAATAAAGTATTTCATAACATGTACTGACTACTGTATACATTACTAAGTCGCTTTTCGAAAACATGGTCTGGGCCTGAGGTGAGGCAAACTTAGGTTTATGGCAATTCACGGATGACAGATTCATAATAGACCCTCAAAGACAGCTAATGGTATTTTGGGGGAAACATTCTGATCTTTCAGAGATTAATGTCATGAAAGAGCACAAAGCCTACAAACGGGCCATTTGTCAGAAAAACACGAGGTTAGATGCCCATTGGGTCAGCTTACCTGTGGGTCATGAAGGGATGGGCTGGTCAACAGCAGAGAACAAGCACCCTCTAACGGGAACCATGAAACTGGCCCTTCAGTAAGTTTGTGGCAATTGAGGGGCAAACAAAACAATGAAACAAAGCTTTCAGTTATCCAAAAGTAGTTCCCTAGTGCTTTTCATGCCCTCCTTCTTTTTTCAATACAATGAGGAATATTTGTGAAGAATAAGAATGTCTAGATATCTGTCAGGAGAATTAAATTAGAATTTTAATTACTTAATAGACTAAATTTCTATCTGATTGTGACTAGCAGAATTTATGTGATCAATTTAACTTATTAAATAAAGCTACAGAACGTAAACACTAAACACAGGTATCATACCACAAGGTAAATAATAAATAATTTAAAAATATATCTCTCTTATTTTAAAATAAATATGATATAAACATTTTAGCAAAGATTTCTGTCCACTTACCTCCCTAAGGGGAAATTCTGTTAAAAGACTACTGTATTTCAAAATGCTACTAGACCACTAAAGTTTTAAAACTCATCAGTCAGCCTTGAGCTTTTCCTAAGCAATTAATCTCACCATTAAGCTTCCTTTAAGCACAATTTTTGAAGTGTTGACACTGTCTTTTAATAAAAAGAGGTTGATAAACTGTTCAGCTCAGAACCTACAACTTATAATCCAAAGTGCTCTGAATCTTATTTCTTACCAATTCACTTATCTGCTTCTCTTTTGGCTACACTGGTGTCATAAAAAAGATCCTGAATTTCAGCTAAAATGGTTACCTACAGAATTAAACAACATTTACGTGTCTGAATAAGTTCCTAAAATAAAAATTATAATATAAGTTTTAAGTATGATCTTTTTTTACTATTCTCCTTTTGGGGGTTCCTAGAAATCAATACATACACTTGGTTTGGGTTGCAGAAAATTTTAAGAGGCATGCTGCAGGAGGATGCCCACAATTAACCATGGTGGTTTGACAGTAATCATTTCCTTTCAAAAAAGCAGGTTAATTTTTAAAATGCTATGGTGTCACCATATTAAAAATGAAGATGGAAATGATATTTCCACCCACACCTTGTTGGAGATATAATGTATCCACCCATTATGCATCCATCATATGCATGGTTCAAAAATTAGAAATGAGACAGCACATACTTCAGAGCGAGTCCCACTCTCAAAACAATAACAAATTTTCATTGTCATGTAAGTTTTTGTGACTTTTCGTAAGTTAATACTATTCATTTGAAGTATTTTGCTGAAAAAAGAACAAACGTTTGTAAATAACTGAAGGCTGGCTGGTTTTTGGATGCTATTTACAAAAATGTATACCCATAATATTACTAGTGAAATTAAGACTGAATAGCTGATAGAGAATTTCTATTAATACTTTTGGATGAACATACATCTACTTGCGTGAGGATTCTATGCAAAGTTTTCACTCCCTCATCCATCTATTCAGTCTCCTTTATATCTTCTTGATCCGAAGTACTAGAGATGTCATCATCTGTTTGTTCTCCAGAGAAATATAACATCATTGCATGTGTCTTGTGAGTTATGGTGACAGTGCAGGGCCCTTGGGCCCAAGGCTCCCCATCCACCTGCATTGGCATCATGGAGCACTTCAAAATCAGCTGATATTAGGGAACAAATAACGTTTAAAAGTCAGTCCCCCAAAATTTAGAAAGGTCTTCCTTAATAACACCATCCACAATCCCTTAACCCTTATGCATTTCATTTTTAGAAAATATTAATCTGAATATGTTTTTATTCATTGATTAAGGAATTCTTTTTTCAAGTGAATGTTTTATCTCATGGAGCTTGAGCCATGTTTCTGTTTCTTCCTCATCCCACTCTAGCCCCTGGTGTACAGTGACCAGCTGCATGAGCCATAAACCACTGTTTAAAGAAAGATATAGCATGTATACTTTACATATCAACAGCTTAGAAATGGATTGGGACAAATTAGCCTGTTATAGCCATATTTCACCTACCCTCACTGTATGTGCCTGTCCTATTCGAAAAGGATTCGCCAGTTTTACTTGAATCTGAGCACAGTGGAAAGACCCATATACTCCAACGACTTCCAGTAAACCATCGTCATGCCTAAAATTGGAAAAAGAAAATATGGATTATATGATGCAATAAAACAAAATCAGTTATGCTAGAGCAATTACTTTTTAACACAGTTGGACCATCAACTTTAAAAATATTATAACTGAGATATACAAAAAAGAAAATTTAAGGAAAAATGTTAAAGTCTATAAACAAGAGATTGCTTTAAATAAAATAGTGACATAAAAAAACAGACCACAAATGTACATACCTGGCTAGAGGGTAAGTCTCGTCTCCCATCCCTTCCCATAGTCTGCAGCCACCGCCCCAGTAACCAATGTTCAGAACTATAATACCTTCCAAGCTGGGCAGTGCTACTCGCTCACCATCCAGTTCTAGCTTTAAAGAAATACAAACAGATAGTGACTACAGGGTACATGATTTCCATACACATCCATTTAGAATTCACATCTATTTTCATAAATGTGCTTATATATGAGAGACGCACATGTAGAAGATGCTCCCTACCTCTCACTCAGGGCCTCTCATCTGGCCTTTTCTATCTCTTCGGTGGAACTGCTTGCAACATCATCAATAATGTCCTTTTTGTTGAGCCCCATGATTTTTTCAGGCCTTATCTAAATTGCTGTTTCAGTAGCACCTGACACTTGCTGACCCCCTTCCTCTTTTCCTAAAATCTTCTTTCCCTTTGCTTCCTGGGAACCACAGACTCTACTTCCCTGGATGTTCCTTTTCAGGAAAGTAAACTGGGCCAGATCTATCAATCCACTGCCTACAATGTCCATGAACATGTCCATGAACTGGCACCAAATTCCTATGTAAAAAATTGAACAAGCAACTTTTCTGCAATCTGCTCCGTTCCCCAACGTACTTACCAGGAAAGAGTAACAATCTTCCCCTCCTCCTTCTCTTAGTTAACTTACTTACTCTTTCCTAGTAAGTAGGTTAACTCACTCCCAACCCAGCTGTTTAAGCCAGAAACCTGGCAGTTATCTTTGATTTCTTTGACTTTTTACCCTCCACATCCCCTTAATCACTAAAAACAGTTGATGCTATTTCTGTCTTTCTCTCTCTCCACCATTTCTTCCCTAAAATGTTCCTACCTGGCCTATCTGCCTCTAGCTTTACTTTCTTATGCATCCCTCGCAGAGCAATTGGATCAACACTTTAAAAATGCAAATATGTCATCCTCTAATTACAACCCTTCAATGGCTTCAATTCAACCCTGCAATGCCCTCACTTCAACCCTGCAATGCCCATGATGAAATTCAAGCTCCAATACCAGGCAAATATGACACTCTGTGATTTGACTTCTGTCCATCTCTCTAGCCTCAGCTCTTGTCACTTTCCTTCCTGAAAGCTATGCTCCAGCCTGAACTCACTCAAATATGCCATGTGCGCCTCTGGGTCTTTTGCACATGCTGTTTTTAGCCTACAGCAATCTTACCCTCCTCCTTCTCTTAGCTAACTCTTACTTATTTTCAGATTCCATCTTGTCACTTCTTCCAGAAAGACTGCCACTTTCCCTAGTCTCTGTTAGCTCCTAGGTTACATACTGCAGTTATTTATTCCTGTAAGACCACATGCTTTTCTTACATAACTTCTCATACTGCATTGCAATGTGTTAAATATCTTTTTGGTTTTTTCTTGGAGACAGGGTCTCAATCTGTCACCCAGGCTGGAGTGCAGTGGTACAATCACGGCTTACTGTAGCCTCCGCCTGCTGGGTTCAAGTGATCCTCCTGCCTCAGCCTCCTGATCAGCTAGGACCACAGGTACATGCCACTATGCTCAGCTATTTTTATTTTTTGTAAAAGTGGAGTATCACTATGTTGCCCAGGCTAGTCTCCTTGCCTCAAGCAATCCTCCCATCTTGGCCTCTCAAAGTGCTGGGATTACAGGCATGAGCCACTGTGCCCAGACTGGTTTAAATACCTTTCTTCACCCTAGACTGTAAATGTAGAGCAAGGGATTTATCACTGTACCTCCAGTATCGAGGACAATGACTATTTTGTAGGTATGTAAATACAGTTTATTTTATTTCTATATAATTAAAAGTAATTTGTATTTTTATATAAATAAAATGTCAGACAATAAAGGTCTTTATTTTATGTGCTTGTATGCTTTACTCTACCAATACTATCAAAGGCAAGAAAAATAAAATATGATAAAGTAACACTCTTTTTTTTTTTTTTTTTTTTTTTTTTTTTTGAGACGGAGTCTCGCTCTGTCACCCAGGCTGGAGTGCAGAGGCGCAGATCTCTGCTCACTGCAAGGTCCGCCTCCCGGGTTCACACCATTCTCCTGCCTCAGCCTCCAGAGTAGCTGGGACTACAGGCGCCCACCACCACGCCCGGCTAATTTTTTTTTGTATTTTTAGTAGAGACGGGGTTTCACCATGTTAGCCAAGATGGTCTCGATCTCCTGACCTTGTGAACCGCCTGCCTCGGCCTCCCAAAGTGCTGGGATTACAGGTGCGAGCCACCGCGCCCGGCCGTAACACTCTTTTTAACAGAAAATGTTGTTCTTGCTTCTACGCCATGGCTACCTAGAGACTTTGAGCTAAACATTATGCCTAACGGCAACATGTTTCCTTGACTAATGTATAATCAGCCTCCTTACTCCCTGCTCATTGTCTCCTTTCCCAAGCTGTTTATGATCTCTTTTTATTTATTTTATCAGTTCTAGGTTGCTATGAATTAATGTCTTTGTTGTTGCTATTAACCATTACAGATTCTTTTTGGAATCAAGCAAGGAATATACATAAGACTGCCATATCATAACGTTAGAGATGCTCTCGCAATAAGCAATCATTAATATTCTACTTTTACTATTTACACATTTTTATTTTGGTATGTAAGAGAGATACCCCCCAAAAGTAATCTGAATTAAACTTTCCATTTAAACTTCCTCTGTGTCTTTGAGTCAGGCACTGTATTAGATAACTGTAAATTATTTATCATGTATGAATGGAGGCCATTCATCCTAATAAACAGATTCTGGATTTACATAAATCTGGGTTCACATCTTGATTACATGTGTATTTAGGCATTAAATGAGAGAATTTGGGCAAATTACTTCTTTCAAAATAGTTTTCTTTTCTGTATAATGTAAATATATAATACATGCCTTATAGAACTGTGGAGAGAATTTAGAGGGACAATGTATACAGAGCACGTAGCAACGTGCCTGGCACACAAATAAATACTCTATGTATGCTGGCAAAATATATTAACAGAAAGTTTAGCACTTCTGTTTAAAACGTCTTCATAATCCAGAGACCACCTAAAATTTTAAAAAATAAAAAGTGTTAATAGCTTACCTCAACTTTTTTATTCAAATCTTTACATTCTTGCACTAAACAATCTTTGGTTCCATAGAATAAGTAAACCGCCTATGAAAAATGGACAGAAAACATAATATTAAAACAGTCTAACCCTGTAAACATTAAGAAAAAAATACACTGTATCAAAGCTCCCTTCAAGAATGTTGAAACGCATTTTCCTTACGGTAGACTAGATGCTGATGAAAAGAAGGGCAACCAAAAGGGATACTTTTGGTGTGCACCCTCTGGCCCTATCCAATACCTCCATTCTAGTAATTTCAAAGGGTAAAACTGGAATCCACTAGGAGCAGCAATGGAAATCTATAATTAAAACACAATGTAAAAATGCCTTTAATATATTACAGATACTTTTGGCATCATTTGTTATTTTACATTTTATTCTCTTAAGCTATTAATAGTTTAAAAGTTCTAGGTGAACTGTGGTTACTCATCCTTCTTTTTTGGAAGATGACAATACAGGCCATTTCATTTAAGTTTAATTAGCCTCTTTCTCAGGGGAAATGTGGGATAGAAGTGATTTTTTTTTTCTTTTTCTTTTTTTTTTTTTTGAGATGGAGTCTCGCTCTGTCACCAGGCTGGAGTGCAGTTGTGCGATCTCGGTCCACTGCAACCTCTACCTCCCGAGTTCAAGCGATTCTCCTGCCTCAGTCTTCCAAGGAGCTGGGACTACAGGCGTGCGCCACCACATCTAGCTAATTTTTGTATTTTTAGTAGAGACGGGGTTTTACCATGTTGGCCAGGATGGTCTTGATCTCCTGACCTCGTGATCTGCCCACCTTGGCCTCTCGAAGTGCTGGGATTACAGGCACGAGTCACCATGCCCAACCTACAAGTGATTTGTTTCTAAACGGTGTTTTCTCCCAATTTATCAAAAAAGTTGTATTTTATAAAGAAAAATATTCGAGTTAGAAAATTCCACTTTTTCCTAGTACCTCAGATTACTTAAGAATAGTAATGCATATTAATCTAACAAACATTTTCTAATCACTTTCGAATACAGAAAGGTTGATATAAAGACTGAGATGAGTTAATTATCAATTGTATAAATAGTAATATGTATTACCTTAGTAACTATATTAATAAAAGGGAACTATTTTAAAACCTGAAATATTTGTAAAACAGAACCAGGAATACAACTGCTTTGCATTTATTTTTGATATCCTGTTGGTCAATCACCAAACGTTATTTAAAAAATTCCTAAGCAAAACTCCATCAAAGGAATCAACTGTACTAGAAACCAGATATGACCTTAGTTCAAAGCTGTGGCAAACAAGCTGCTCTTTTCTTTATCTCATCTGCCTTCTGGAGGTTTTTCAAACCAATGAAATCTACTGTTCCATTAATGACCTCACCAAAAATTTAGTCTGCCTAAAATTTCCTTCCAATTTTAGCTGCCGTTTAAGATAAACTATCATATATTCCATTTAGTTGCCATCTAAGCAAAATATGCTATAAAACACCCCAAATTTGAATTTAAAAAAATTGTTAGAATTATGTTATACTTTGATAAAGCTGTTTTGTTTTTTGAGATGGAGCTCCATTCTGTTGCCCAGGCTGGAGTGCAATGGTATGATCTCAGTTCACTGCAACCTTTGCCTCCTGGTTTCAAGAGATTCTCCTACCTCAGCCTCCCGAGTAGCTGAGATTACAGACATCTGCCACCACGCCCGGTTAAATTTGTATTTTTAGTAGAGACAGGGTTTCACCACGTTGGCCAGGCAGGTCTTGAACTCCTAACCTCAAGTGATCCACCTGCCTCTGCCTCCCAAAGTGCTAAGATTACAGGCGTGAGCCACTGTGCCCGGCCTGCTAAAGTACATTTAAAGATCTAATTTAACAAAAAGATCTAATTTGACAATCCTACACAAAACAGAGCAGGTAAAAAGTTAGTTAAATCTGAATCTAAGAGTGCTAAATATAATTGAACTATTGATTTTTACTGTACCTTCGGTGATAAGCAGGAAATGTTATTTTATCCAACACACCTTATTAAGAATTCTGCTAGAAAACAGAGATGGTGCCTTCTCACGATGAGCATGAAAATTGAGAGCCATGAGAGCATCAGGTCCAACAGAAAAATAGTTGTTCATTGTGAATTCCTGTGAGAAAGGGTAAGAATAAGCAACAGACTATGATTCCACCTAAGCCTGAGTCATAATTAAACGTCAATCTTAGTCTTTGTGTTCTTTTGAAAAGGGAGATGCTTTCTGCATTTACTTTTCACATGGCTATTTTATACTGTCCGGTGACGTTACCAGAAATAAAGCTTCCATTTAAGGCTGATAACTACAGATGTGAATCTCATCTTCCATTTCTGTTTTATATGCTGCACCTCAGACCTTACCATCTAGAATGGCTCTACTTGATGCTTCCAGGCTTTTCATGCCTGTGTTCCCATTACATTTGCTCTTTAATCACAGCCTCCAAGCTCTCAGCTTCTTAGTCCCAACCCAGGCTACTGGTCTCACCTTAATTTATCTTACTTCCCAATGTGGCCTGGATTCCAAGGTCAATCATTTCAACGACTGTACTCAACACCATCCTTTGTTCCAGCACTCTCTTGACCTCTTCTCAATTTAGCTTTGTTTTTTTTGAGACAGAGTCTCGGACTGTCGCCGGGCTGGAATGCAGTGGCGCGACCTCAGCTCTCTGCAACCTCTGCCTCCCGGGTTCAAGCGATTCTCCTGCCTCAGCCTCCCGAGTAGCTGGAATTACAGGTGCCTGCCACCATGCCGGGCTAATTTTTTTGTATTTTTAGTAGAGATGGCGTTTCACCATGTTGGCCAGGCTGGTCTCGAGCTCCTCACCTCATGATTCGCCCACCTCAGCCTCCCATACTGCTGGGATTACAGGCGTGAGCCACCGCGCCCGGCCAGCCTTACTTGTTAATCTTCTCTAAATCAAACTGTTTTCTCTGCTCTATTTCCAGGTTGCTGGACATTGCTGGTAAGAATCTTATAATTAGGATCCTGTTACAAAGTTATTTCTAAGGATGGCTGGACACAATTGCTAATAGGACACAGTAACCCTTTCGATGACCCCTTTCTTGTATTCCCTAGTGGTTTATTTCAAAATTTACAACTCTCTTCAAGTCCCTGGTAACTAGTTCCCTTGCCTTCATTATGTTCAGATGATCTTGATTCTTGCCTCACTGAAAAAAATGAGATCCTCAGGTATGAAAGGTATGAATTCTCATGCTTGCTTTCTGCCATCTAAACATTCTGACTTTACTCAAGTGTATGACTTTACTCAAGTGTACCTTTCTCCTCCAAATCAAAGATGCTCTTCCTCCTTTTGATGGTTAAGTCTAAATTTGGTCGCTTGTTCTTTTTATCCTTTTCTCATTCATCTCTTATGGAACTAAATGTCCCTTCACTGCCAAAATATAATTTTCAATCCTAGTTGTTCTTTTAAACAAAACCCATAAACATCTTATTTTAAATAAAATACGTCAATGTACATTAATGTGCCTTTATTTTTTAACTGAAATTTTTTTCTAGTTTTCTAGGCGTCCTTTTTTTTTTTTTATTTTTTTATTTTTTTTGAGACGGAGTCTTGCTCTGTAGCCCAGGCTGGACTGCAGTGGCCGGATCTCAGCTCACTGCAAGCCCCGCCTCCCGGGTTTACGCCATTCTCCTGCCTCAGCCTCCGGAGTAGCTGGGACTACAGGCGCCCGCCACCTCGCCCGGCTAGTTTTTTGTATTTTTAGTAGAGACGGGGTTTCACCGTGTTAGCCAGGATGGTCTCGATCTCCTGACCTCGTGATCCGCCCATCTCGGCCTCCCAAAGTGCTGGGATTACAGGCTTGAGCCACCGCACCCGGCCTCTAGGCGTCCTTTATTCAGACACTAAGAGTGGGGTAATATAAGCTTCATGAGGGCAAGGCCTTCATCACTGAAACTCCAGCACCTAGGACAGTGCCTGGCACCAGATGGGCACAAAATACTTGCCTGAATGTATAGATAAATGAAGTTCCTTCTTGTATTTGATTGTTTGGATGTTCTTCTATAGAGGTAAGCAGACCCTACTTGATTGTAGTGTATTTATTTTTGACAGCAAATGGCTGAAGAACATGTCTTTTTATTTGAATCATCTAACTGGTGTGAAACTTTGTCCATCTTTCTTTGGAAGAATGATCTCTGATAAATATTTCTAAATACTCAGCTCCGCTTTATTACTGAATAGTAATACATCCTGGTATGAATGAGAAATACATCTTTTTTTTTTTCTGCATATCCATCACCTCAAATATTTATCATTTATTTGTGGTGAGAACATTTTAAATCCTCTCTTTTAGGCTCACACTTATAATCCCAGCACTCGGGGAGGCTGGGGTGGGTGGACTGCTTGAGCTCAGGAGTTTGAGCCAGCCCGGGCAACACAGACAAATCTTGTCTCTATTGAAAATAATAAAAATAAAATTGGCTGGGTGTGGTGGCATGTGCCTGTAGTCCCAGTTAATAATGAGGCTAAGATGGGAAGATCACTTGAGCCCAAGAGGTCTAGGCTGCAGTGAGCTGTGATCGCGCCACTGCACTTCAACTTGGCAATGGAGTGAGACCGTCTCAAAAAACCCCAAAAAAACAAAAACACAAAAAACCTCTCTTTTAGCAATTTGAAAATGTACATTAACTATAGTCACCAAGCTGTGCAACAGCAGAACTTATTCTTCCTATCTAACTAAAACTTTTTACCTGTTAAACAATGTCTCCCCTTTCTTCATCTACTCTCCTACCTTCTACAGCCTCTGGTAACCATCATTCTACTCTTGACTTTGAGTTTGATTTTTTAGATTCCACATATAAGTGACATCATACAATATTTGTCTTTCTGGGCCTTGTTTATTTATTTAACATAATGTCCCCTGGGTTCAGCTATGTTGCCGAGAATGACAGATTTTCCTTCTTTTTTTTTTTTAAAGTCTGAATAGTTTTCCGTTGTGTATATATGGCATATTTAAAAAAAACATTCGGCCGGGTGCGGTGGCTCAAGCCTGTAATCCCAGCACTTTGGGAGGCTGAGACGGGCGGATCACGAGGTCAGGAGATCGAGACCATCCTGGCTAATACAGTGAAACCCCGTCTCTACTAAAAAATACAAAAAAATAGCCGGGTGAGGTGGCGGGCGCCTGTAGTCCCAGCTATAGGGAGGCTGAGGCAGGAGAATGGCACAAACCCGGGAGACGGAGCTTGCAGTGAGCTGCGATCCGGCCACTGCACTCCAGCCTGGGCGAAAGCGCGAGACTCCCTCTCAAAAAAAAAAAAAAAAAACAAACAAAAAAAACATTCATTTACTGATGGGCACTTAGGTTATTTCTGCATCTTGGCTATTATACATAACGCTGCAATGAACATGGCAGCATGGACATCTGTTTGATATACTGATTTCAATTCCTTTGGGTATGTATCTATAAATGGGATTGCTGGAATAAATGGTAATTCTAGTTTTAGTTTTTTTTTTTTTTTTTTTTTTTTTGAGACGGAGTCTTGCTCTGTGTCCCAGGCTGGAGTGCAGTGGCGCAATCTCGGCTCACTGCAAACTCCGCCCCCCCGGGTTCCTGCCATTCTCCTGCCTCAGCCTCCCGAGTCGCTGGGACTACAGGCGCCCGCCACCTCGCCCGGCTAATTTTTCTTGTATTTTTAGTAGAGACGGGGTTTCACCATGTTAGCCAGGATGGTCTCGATCTCCTGACCTCGTGATCCGCCCGTCTCGGCCTCCCAAAGTGCTGGGATTACAGGCTTGAGCCACCGCGCCCGGCCTCTAGTTTTAGTTTTTTGAGAAACCTCCGTATTGTTTCCCAAAATGGTTGTACTACTTTGCAATACCAATAGTGTATAAGGATTCTCTCTTCTCCACATCCTTGCCAACATTTGTTATTACTGACCAATGAGATAGGATAGGAAAGCCCAAAATAAATACACATATTGATGGCCAGTTGATTTCTGACAAAGGTGCCGAGAACATACAATAGGGAAAGGAGAGTCTCATCAATAAATGGTACTGGGAAAGCTGGGTATCTACATGCAGAACAATGAAAATCAACCCTTATCTTACCCATTATAAAGAATCAACTCAAAATGGATTAAAGACTTAAATGTACAACCTGAAACTATAAAAGTACTAAAAGAAAATGTAAGAAAAAAGCTTCATGACATTGGCTTGGGCAGTTATTTGGTTTGATATGACCTCAAAAGCACAGGCAATAAAAGTAAACATAGACAAAAGGGATTGCATCACACTAAAAAGATTCTACACAGCAAAGGAAAACAAGAGTGAAGAGGCAACCCACAGCTTGGGAGAAAATATCTGTAAATCATACACTCGATTAGGAATTAATCTCCAAAATGTAGAAGGAACTCAAGCTACTCAGTAACAACCAATAATCTTATTAAAAAATGGGCAAAAGGACTTGAAGAGACATTTCTCAAAAGACATAAAAATGGCCAACAGATACAGGTTCAGCACCCCTAATACGAACATCTGAAATCTGAAATGTCCCCAAATCTGACCCTTTTTGAACACTGACATGACACTCAGAGGAAACGCTCATCGGAGCATTTTGGATTTCAGCTTTTCAGATTAGAAATGCTCAACGGGTACATATTCTGCACATATTCCAAAATCCAAAAAAATCAGAAATCTGAAATACTTCTGGTCACAACCTTTTTTTGCATAAGGGATATTCAACCTGCATATGGAAAAATGCTAAACATTTCTAATCATCAGAGAATTGCAAATGGAAACCACAATGAGCTATCACCTTGTACCTATTAGATTGGCTTCTATCAAAAAGAGAAACACATCTTTAATGCTGGCATTTCAGGCACTATGATAACTGACAAATACTTCTGAGCACAGCAACCATTTTAAAGGATCTCCAATACTTTCTCTTTTTTTTTATGTTTAATTTTTTTTAATAAATCAAAGCAATCCACTTTAATAAGCTATATAGTTCTACAAGGCTTCAAAGGAAACACTACAGTTATCTGTCTACTCCTCATTCATAATTCCTGTTCCCACAGCTCTTTCCATAGTTCTTTCTTCTGCTATTTATCTCTATATTTCTAAATAACATAATCAGATTATTTCTTGATTTTTTTTTTTTTTTTGAGACGGAGTCTTGCTCTGTTGCCCAGGCTGGAGTAGAGTGGCGCGATCTTGGCTTGCTGCACCCTCTGCCTCCCGGATTTAAGCAATTCTCCTGCCTCAGCCTCCCGAGTAGCTGGGATTACAGGCACCCACGACCACGCCCAGCTAATTTTTGTATTTTTAGTAAAGATGGGGTTTCACCATGTTGGCCAGACTGGTCTCAAACTCCTGACCTCATGATCTGCCCGCCTCAGTCTCCCAGAGTGCTGGGATTACAGGCATGAGCCACCGCACCTGGCCAATTCGTGATTTTTAAATTTTAAATATTACTTATTCTTTTTCTCTTTCTTTAGAGATGGGGGCCTCATCTGCACTCTGTCACCCAGGCTGGAGTGCAGTGGCGTGATGATAGCTCACTGCAGCCTTGAACTCTTGGACTCAAGCAATCTTCTGGCCTCAGCCTCCTGAGTTGCTGGGACTATAGGCGTGTGCCCCCATGTCCAGTTCCTTTGCTTTTTGTTGCATTTTCTGAGTGGTGTCTTCAATTGTACTTTCCAATCTGATACTGAATTTTAGTTTGTCAGAGCCTTTTTTGAGGTGTGTGTTTCTGAATGTTCCTTTTATAGAACCCTGTTCTATAAATATTTTCATTTTTCTCTGAGAACATTAGTCCCACTCCCTGACTTCCTTCAGCTTCCTGGACTGTGTTTCCTATAATTTTTTCTTCTTATTTGGGGCTCTCTCATGATAGAGGCTTTCCTTAAATGCCTGCTTGTGCTTCCAATCCTTGGCTGTATATGTTCATATTTTAAGAGTAAGGCATAAAAGGCAAACTGAACTTTGCATTCAAAAGCAGGTCTTGCTAGGGCATAAGCTTCATTATAGGACTACAGTGCAAAAATCTGGTCCTTTTGCTAGGGGACACCCAAATATTGGTAGTTGTTAATTTTTTCCTTGGGCAAGGTAGCTTCCCAGAGAGACATACTCTCTGCCACTATTCTTGAAGTTGAGTGGATGAAAAGGGCCAGTGATCTCACTTTGCACTAAATCTGTTTGTAGTATGGCATTAGCTGGCTAGAGTCTTTCTAGTTTAAACGTTCCAGAGTAAACCTCCAATCTACTACCTGAGTTGAGGAGGGTAGTAAATGACCACGTGAAGCTGGGGAAAGGGAACAAACAGTTTCTTTGGCTCACTCCTTCTATTTTCAGACCCACTCTATACTACTGCTCTCTGAGTGATGTAGTGACTTGAATTCCTAAGCCTTTGCTTGGTTCTGCTCAATAAACTGGTTTCTTTCTTGGTTTTCTGCAGTGTAGGCACTTTTGAGCTTTTTTCAATTATGCGAACCTTCCTAGTTTTGGCTTCTGAAGACTGCTGTGATCTCTTTCTCCTTAAGGTTTTGTGCCTTCTCAAAGATCTATACAAGATCTGTATCCCCATTTTAGAGGGATTTTAGTGGCAAGGAGACAGAGAAGCAAAGAAACATGCATGAGTTCCCCAAATGCTCTTCTTTAAAGTCTGCTTTAATTTTGCTGTTTATCACCCACCTACTGTAATTCTCTTTCTCTGTTTTCTCCTTATTTACTTACTACACTCTTTAGTTTCCCTTAGTGGCCTCTCTTAATCTGTGTCACCTAAATGTATCTATTTTCAAGATGTAGTTTGTGGCTGGACACAGTGGCTCATGCCTGATCCCAATACTTCAGAAGGCTGAGGAGGGAGGACTGCTTGAGCCTAGGAGTTCGAGATCAGCCTGGACAATATAGGGAGACCCTCTCTCTACAAAAAAGAAACAAAAACAAAAACCATCTGGGCATGGTGGCACATGCTGATGGTCCCAGCTACTTGGGAGGCTGAGGTGGGAGGATCGCTTGGTCCCAGAGGTCGAGGCTGCAGTGAGCTGTCATCACAATACCGCACTCCAGCTTGAGTGACAGACCGAGACCTTGTCTCCAAAACAAAAGAAAGAAAAAAAAAGATGTAGTTCTTGACCTTCTTTTCTTTTCTCGCTCCCCATATTCTCAGCATTTAAACAATTATCAGAAATAAAGTTTCAGTTCAAAGGTTGATAACTAGGGGCATAAATCCCACAACTTGGGCTACTCCCCTGCCCCCACCCCAGTTTATTTTACTTTCTAACCCAGTCTAGATTCCTCAATCTGCATCTCTAGCTCTGTCTTTATTCCTGAGCAATAAGCCTAAACTTCCAACTTCTTGTTCAACACTTCAAAAACTTTTAGATTGATATGCTCAATTCTATCTCATTTTCTTCCCACCCAAACCTGAAACTTAGTATTTTTCTTATAGTCATTTCCATATATCCAGTTATAAAAACTAGAAATCTAGTAGTAATACGTATTTTCTCTCTTCCCTTTCTATTAATCAGTTGTTAAGTACCGATTAATTCTACCTCTAAAATGTCTTTGCATTGTCCTCATCCTAATTCTACCTAGTACAGGCTTCTAAGCTATTTTCACATTATCTCCAGAGTATCTTTTAAAAATACAGATCTGCTCTCTCTGTATTATTTGCTACTTGCTAACCATGCTTTGCACTGCCTGGAAAGTCCTTCGCTTTTTTAAGGACCAACTCCCATATCACTTCCTCTGAATCTTCTCAGCCACATCAGCTAGGCAGAACAGGTGCACTCCCATAACACATTTACAGTCCAGCTTGTGAGTTAAGCATAAAAGCTTCTGTTCTGTTCCACAGCCAGCTCCCTTGAGATAAGCACCAGGTCTATGTATCCCACCACAGAGTGCCGTATCTTGAGCAATGAAGCTGAAACTACTTGCAACTGAGGCACTAACAACATACCTTGGGTTTTCTTAAGTTGTAGTATCCTTTATTTGTTACTTGAACTTTCCATCTAAAAAACAGAAGTTAAAAAAAACACTTTTTACAATAAACCCTGTACTCTGGATGTTTGGATAAATGAAGGTTTTCTATTAAAATACCATCTAAAAAAGTAACCACACGTATGATAAGCATGCAAATTTAGGGATAAGTACTCAGTGTAACTTATTACTTTGGCTCTTACATAATAAAACAAAACACCAGTATCTATGTATAAGTACGAGTATCATCTTTCACATTTAAATTACATGGCACATTTCACCTACACAAGTCTTCATTTGTAAACCAAACAATGACGGCTAAATCTCAAGAAATCTACTTTTTGGGGAAATGTAACTTACCGATCTAGTTTAATTCCATCTGCTTCCATTACATTTCGCAAAACCTGTGCAACTGGAATTTCTCCAGCATAACCTGTACCCCAACCCAACGTATTGGATAGATCGTTGCCTGTTCCCAGAGGCAAGACTGCAACTTGTGGAATGTACTTTTCTTGTCCCTAGAATATGGAAGATATGTTTTAGATTTTTCTCTGCAGACTATTTGCTGGGTAATAACACTTTACAAAATTTATTAAGACCAAAACAGTAAGAATACAAATATAACAACTGTATGTTGTTTTGCTAAAGCTTGTGCTAACTGCTTAATCAAAACATCTCATTTTTAACTATTTGGAGCTGGCAATGTCTCATATTCATCTGCATAATAAAAAATATAAAGTATAAATATTCCATATTAGGTTGGGCATGGTGGCTCATCCCTGTAATCCCAGCACTTTGGGAGGCCAAGGTGGGAGGATTGCTTGAGCCCAGGAGTTTGACAGCAGCCCAGGCAACATGGTGAAACCCTGTCCCTACAAAAAACACAAAAAGCAGCCAGGCATGGTAGCACACACTTACAGTCCCAGCAACTTTGTAGGCTGAGGTGGGAGGATGGCTTGAACCTGAGAGATGGAGGTTGCAGTTAGCTGTGTTTGTGCCACTGCACTCCAGCCTGGGTGACAGTGTGAGACTGTATCTCAAACAAACAAACAAACAACCCATATATATATATGCATAGTATATTTATCTTAGAAGTCCTTCTGCAGTAGTTCTTAAAGACTAATACCTTAATTTTCATGTCATCAACTGCATCCAGGACCCACCCTACAGTCCCATCCCCTCCACAAACAAGTACTCGAGCTGAATAATATGGAAGAAGAGTACAGAGTTGTAGGGCTTTGATAGGAGGAGTTTTAGTTACATCAAAAACCTAGAAAAAAAAGAAAAAGAAAAATTATTTTTATCCAACATTTTCCTTCATCTGTAAGGATGATTTCTCTCTAGATGAGTAGAGATATAGTTAAATAACATTACTGGCTACTTTGTACTTAACAATATGCCAGGCACTGTGCCAGACTCTTTATATTCATTGTAGCTCATCCCCACACTGACTCTACAAAGCAAGAGTTAGCTTCATTCTATTGGGCTGGAAACTGAGGTGCAGGAAGGTTAAATTCCTTGCCTGTGACTCTCCAGGTAATTAAGTGCTGAAATACAAGGCTACGTGTGGTAACTCACGCCCATAATCCCAGCACTTTGGAAGGGCAAGGCAGCTGGATCACTTGACGTCAGGAGTTCGAGACCAGCCTGGCCAACATGGCAAAATCCTGTCTCTATTAAAATACAAAAATTAGCCAGTGTGGTGCTGTGTGCTTGTGATCCTAGCTACTTGGGAGGCTGAGGTAGGAAAATCACTTGAACCTGGGAGGCAGAGGTTGTAGTGAGCCAAGATCATGCCCCTGCACTCCAGCTTGGGCGACAGAGTAAGACTCTGTCTCAAAAAAAAAAAAAAAATCAAAGTTATAGTTTATCTGTTACACCACATTGCCTCCTTCCTGTTCACATAAACCACAATGTGCTAGGTTCACCTTTAACTAGTATTTCATATCTTATACTGGCTTAAAAAAAAATCACCAGTGCAAGTTAGTACAAATTTCTGGAAATCAATTTTGCAATACATAGAAAATGACATAAAAATGCAAGTAACTTTGATAATCCATAACTCTGTCAATGACCCTAGAAAAATATTTCAAAAGACAAAAATGCCTAAAAATATGTATAAAAATATTCACTGTGGCATTATTTATAATACAATCATAGAGACAGTGTTACCCTTCAACAGCAGGAGAGTGGATAAATAATGCTATTTCCATTCAATTATTTTAGTCATTAAATATGTAATTATGAGGACAATGTTGAAACAAGGAAAAATATTTATACCATTAAAGTTAAAAAAATCAGAATGCAAATTTGCATCTAGATTATTGTTATAGTACTGTTAACATTAAAGTAAATGCATAGATAATTAATGGAAAGAGCAAGAAAAAAGAAAACTGATGTATTCGTATGGAGAAATTGCAAATGATTTTCTCTGTATTTTTTATAATTTTCTTAAGCTGTATAATATTGAAAGTGTAAAAAATACAAATTGGAAGGACAAAATCATTGCATTTCTAATTGTTACACAATAGGTTAATTTTCCTCTTTTTAAATTTTGTTTTTTGGTTAATTTTTCAAAGTAAGAGTCGCTAGTTGTACATTCAATTTTAATGATCCCTTTTATTTTTAAACCTGAGGTATAATTTACATATAAGATTCACCCATTTGAAGTGAACAAGCCAATAATTTTTATTAAGTTCACTGAATTGCACAACCACCACCATCATCCAGTTTAGAACATTTTTGTTGCTTTAATAAGATCCCTCAATATCCATTCGCAGTCACTCTCCATTTCTAGCCCTAGCCTCAGGCAATCAATAATCTATTCTCTACCTCTACAGACTTGCCTTTCCTAGACAAGTCAGATAAATGGAGTCATACAATATAAGGTCCCTTGTATCTGCCTTCTCTCACTTAGTGTGTTTTTGAGGTTCATTTACTGTAATATGTACGTATCAGTAGTTTGTTCCTTTTGGTCATTTCATGGTATTCCATTGTATGGCCTCATTACATTTTGTTTATCAGCTCATCAGCTCATGAACAGCTGGGCTGTTCATGGGTTTTGGCTATCATGAATAATGCTGCTGTGAACATTTTCATGCAAATCTTTGTGAGAAATATGTTTTCACTTAACTTGGGTAGATTCCTAGTAGAGGAATTGTTAGAAGATATAATAAATTTATGTTTAACTTTTTAAGAAACAGCTAAGATGTCTTCTAAAGAGGTTGTACCATTTTATATTCCCACCACAAGAGTTCCTGTTTCTCCACATATTTAAATGGCTGATCTTTTCGTAATTATTATTCTTTCCTATGATCAGGTGATTAGTGACTTAAAGCATTAATAACCATTCCATTTTAGGGAAAATTAAAACATTAATAAAGAAAGGAAGTTTTTTTCTTTAGTTACCTGGACTGGATTCAACAAGATCCTAAATTCTCCCAACAGTCCTTCTCCCATATTAGTTCCACTACGAGAGTTGGCCAGGATTATTAACGGCGTCCATTGCTTTCCAAGCTTAGAGGCTAGCTAAAAGAAATTGCCATGAGTGAAAAGGGTTTAGAATCTCAAAGATGAAAAACACATTTTCCATGCCTTGAGAACAATGGTGCTATAATTTGCTGAAATACAAACAACTATACCAGTTCTCTCAATTCAATATAAAAATCAAAGAATTCTAAGAATGGAAGGGAACCTCAGAAATTAACTAATTTAAGCTTCCATTCAATGTTTAATTCTCTTCTACATTATTCTAGATAAGTCATCCAGCATATGCTAAGACACTCACATAAGGAACTCACTAATAATGCAGCCTATTACACTGCTACATCAAATTATTAGAAAGTTTGGACTTAAACTGAGTTGAAAATCTGTCCTATAACTTTCAACCACTCACAGAATAGACACTGATTTTTTTCTCTGATCTTTTACCTTGATTTTCCTTTACTGGATGTATTCTAGCGTATTTTGCAAGGTTTTATTTCTTTTTTTTAAAATGGGGCACTCAGATTAAAAAATCTGGACTTCTAATAGCTCGAAGTCAAATGAAATTAATACTTTTCACAATGTAATCATTTCTTCTTCCCTTCTCCTTGTAGATGTAACCATTAATGAAGTTATTCTGTGGTTTGACTTAGAGATTATCCTCTCTTGTGATCTCAGGTTGAACTCAGATAAATAAGAGATTGTACATTTTTAAAAAAAGTGTCAAAACAATATTGTTTGAAAAATTTAAAATGTCCCTTTCCTTGCAGAAATATTGATAAAGGTGACATGTAAGACATAAAATCTTAATTTGAAAAAGGTACGATTTTACAATAAAATAGTTTAATTATTTTAGTATATCCAATTAGAAAAAAAATCTATAAATTTTTATGTTTCCTTAAGAGCTACATAAAGACTGATTCAGTAAGCTACATCAATTTCATACACATATCTACATACTATAAACTGTTGTCAACAGGTTTAATGTTCACCATTACTTGTAGGAGCATTTAATGTGCAATGTAAACTGATCTCTAGGGACCCTGTATAAAGTTCAAAATCGAAAAATATTTTTAGAACAAGGTGTGAGGAAAATCTATTTTCTTCTCACTGACAATAATCATGAATCCCAAAACTGACTGTTTATCACAATCTTCTGAGGACCTTAAAAAAAAAGATGAATTCCTGGACTTACCCTATACCTACTAAATCAAATATGGTAATGCAAGTACTACTCAGAAATCTGTATTTTTAAAAAGCTCCCTAAGTCATTCAGATGCAGGCAGTGAATTAGAAACCATCAATATAACATTTCCAACTTCCTTTTAGACATGAAAGAACTCAAAAAGCCAAAATTTTTGACCCATCTCTAGGAACCAGGTAGGGTTTTATGGCTTACCATAATGGCATTTTATTTCCTTCCTTGGTCTTGATCTGTTATTTAAATTTATTTTATTCCCGGCACTAATTCTTCTTACATACTGTCTTAACCATCTCAAACAATGACTTAAGCAGCTTTTAAAAAATCAATCATATAAGAGAAATAAACTCTAATTACCACTTCATAATCTGTTTTTTTGTCTTTACGCATCTGATTAATGGAGGTTAAATAACTTGGTGGAATGATTAGGTTTTTGAATTCTCCAAAATCACACTTTTCATTCTTTAAACTATTTCTCATGCACTCATCATGTACTGTTTTCTGGCACCAAATGCACCTGAGGGAAGGAAGAAACAAGTGTTAATTTTAAACCATAATCTCAATGATAACCCACAAAACCATCATTTTTGTTAAAAAATAAAACAGTAATTTTATCACTCTTACTTACCATAACATTTGGCAAATAAAAGAGATGTATCTACACAGTGAAATGAAGCAATAAGGTTTGAACATATTTGGCAGTTTAATCTAATAGCATTTTTTTTTTTTTTTTTTGAGAAAGGGTCTCACTCTGTCGCCCAGCCTGGAGTGCAGTGGTGTGATCTCGGCTCACCGCAGCCTCCGTCTCCCAGGCTCAAGTGATTCTTCTGTCTCAGTCACCCAAGTAGTTGGGATTACAGATGTGTGCCACTACCGCCCGGGTAATTTTTGTATTCTTAGTAGAGACGGGGTTTCACTATGTTGACCAGGCTGGTCTCGAACTCCAGACCTCAAATGATTCACCCACCTCGACCTCCCAAAGTGCTGGGATTGCTGGCGTGAGCCACTGTGCCTGGCCTAACAGCATTTCTTAAAATGTGGCTTGGGGGCCCCAAGATCCATTCAGGGCATCTGTGAGGTTAAAGTTTTAATAATAATACTAAAGAGTTATTTCACCCTCATCCTCTCAAAAGTGTGCAGTGGAGTTTTCCAGAAGCTTTATGACATGTGCTATGACAACAGAAGCAAATATGATAATCTAGCTGAACTATAAGTGAAAGAAACGTACAAAAATTTAAAACAATGTAACTCTCCTCACTAAATTTTCATAAAAATAATTTACTATTATTTAAAAAATATTTTTAAAATTTATCAGTTTTAATTAAATATCAATAGATATGATCCACATAAACAAAAGCTGATCTAAAATGATAGTTTTATATATATTTGTGCTTTGGCTGAAATGTAGGTCCATGAGGCCTAACGTCCTTGCTGTTTAAATGCCCCACTGACATGGACCCTTGAAGAGTTCATCAGGGACCAACCTGAAAATCTCTTAACCTGTAAATATAAGTACAACAGTGCATTTCTTTTTGTCAGTCAATACGAAAATAACTCATATGCTTGCTTTTGAAATAGACATAAGAACATGTGCATTCAGATTTGCAACTATGTTTGGACCTAATTGGTAAAACAAGCAGAGAACAGAGCTGGTAAAGGTCCTGGGTTTCTATTATTAATTTGCTAAGTATTTAATCCACTCACAGGTAAGGCAGATCTGACTGAAGAGATAAAGCAGGCCACCAGAAAAGAATGGTTATAATTAAATGAATACAAAAAAAAAAAAAAAGAGGATAAACATTCTTTCACCCAGAGGTCCACTGTTGACCTTCTATTTTAAGCTGTTTTTTCCTTTTGGATATTCAGATTTGTCAAGTACTTAGCGCTGTTTACTGGAGTCCTATTTACTGCTAAAAGAAAGAGTTCTCTGTATAATCTGTTACAGAGAAAACGAAAATAATTTGCATTATCACATTTGTTAATTTTAAACTCAACTTGAGAAACTATAGTAGACTGGTTACGTGGCTGAGGCATAATATCTCTATTTATTGGTCTACCATAACTTAAAAATAGTATATTACCATCAAAAGCAATCAGAAAGGATAACCACTGAATTATTTCATAATGGTTTCCTCTGGGAAGAAAAGTAGGATTGAGGAATGGGAAAAATATTAACTTTTTCGCCTACATTTTTGTTTGTATGTATTGCTTGAGATCCTAAAAACCAGAATATATACATGAACTACTTGTATAAATTTTAAAAATTATTTTAAATAATATTAGCTTCTAAAAACTTAGAAATACAAAAAGGCATAAAATAAAAATCATCCAGAGAGAGTCACTCTTAACTTTTTGACTTATGTATTCTCAGTTTTATAGCGTATACGTTTGTTTTTCAGGTTAGAAGTATGATGTATATATATCTGGATAATGCATTTCTACGCTGTATCATAAAACTTTTTTGTATAGCATTCATTTTTTTAAAAACATGGTTTGTAAAAAATGTATATTATTACATCATGTGAATATAGTATAATTTATTTGACCCCGTCTCAAAAAACAAGAAAAATAAACAAAAATTAGCTTGGCGTGGTAACGTGGTAATCAGCTACTAGGGAGGCTGAGGTAGGAGGATCACTTGAACCTGGGAAAGGGAGGTTGCAGTGAGCTGAGACTGTGCTACTGCACTCCAGCCTGGGCATTAGAGTGAGATTCCATCTCAAAAAACAAAACAAAACAAAACAGAACAAAACAAACCTGACCTCTTTTCTGTTCTTTAAAAAAAGATATTTAGTTTATTTTTGAAAATATAAATAATATGGGTAAATGAATGAGATTATTTCCTTGCAGTCTTGGAAGTTACTGAATCAAAGGGCATGCATTTTCCTAAGGTTCTGGATGTTCGTCCAATATGCTTGTTAAGACTGCATGAAAATGCCCATCATATGTAACACTTACTAATACTGCTGCTCATTAGTACTTAATTTTTCTTTGATAATTTGATAGAAAAAGGTATCCTATTGTTTTAATCTGGAAGTCTTCGATTACTAGGTAAAACTGAGTTTTTCAATCCCCTTTTGTGAATTCATTCATGTTCTATATTCATTTTTCACTAGGTTTTAATAATTGCATGTACTTTTATTTATCTAGAATATCAATCTCTTTTCTGGTATATTTATTGCAAACATGCTTCAGTTTTCTTTAAAATTTTCTTTTTAATCTACTTAAGTTTTAAAAATATATATATACACATATATATTTCCGTTTGTAGTTGGCTTAAATGGTGTTTCACTTAAAAACAATTTTTTGTTTTTTTGAGATGGAGTCTCGCTCTGTCGCCCAGGCCTGGAGTGCAGTGGTGCGATCTCGGCTCACAGCAACCTCCACCTACCGGGTTCAAGTGATTCTCCTGCCTCAGCCTCCCAAGCAGCTGGGACTACAGGTGCGTGCCACCATACCCGGCTAATTTTTGTATTTTTAATAGAGATGGGGTTTTACCATATTGGTCAGGCTGGTCTCAAAAACTCCTGACCTCATCAGTCTGCCTTGGCCTCCCAGAGTGCTGGGATTACAGGCGTGAGCCACCGAGTCTGGCCAAAAATTTTTTTTCAAGAGACAGTGTCTCACTATGTTGCTCACACTGGCCTGAACTCCTGGGCTCAAGTGCTCCTGCCTCAGTCTCCTGAGTAGCTAGGCTACAGGCACCTAGTTAAATGCTGTTATGCTTTAAAGTCCTTTACCATTTCCTAGATATTCACCGAGAGTTATTTTTTACTCCCACACTTCAGTTTTCATAGTTACACCTTTAATTCAGTGCTTCTTAACCTTCTGGGGCTATAGATTCCATTTAGAATCTCATGAAAGTATCAGGCTTTTCCAGAACTTTATGAACCACCATGTTATTTACCCCTGTATTGGCTGGACACAGTGACTCATGCCTGTAATCCCAGGATTTGGGAGGCCGAAGCGGGGGGATCACTTAAGGTCAGAAGTTTTAGACCAGCCTGAGTAACGTGGTGAAACCCTGTCTCTACTGAAAATATGTAAAAAATTAGCCAGGCATGGTGGTGCACACCTGTAATCCCAGCTACTTGGGAGGCTGAGGTGGGTGAATCACTTGAGCCTGGGAGGTAGTGGTAGCCGTGAGCCGAGATCATGTCACTGCACTCCAACCTGAGCAATAGAGTGAGACTGTCTCAAAAAAACAAAAACAAAAACAAAAAACCACTGCATTAATCTACTTGTAATTAATCTGGTATATTATGAAAGGTTAACCTTCTCCCCTCCCCTAAAGAGCACTTGTCCTAACACGATTCATAAAACCATCTTTTCTATCCCCAATAAATTGTGACAGAACATTGATCATTTACTAAATTCTCATAAATTTCAGAAATAATAATAATAATTATTATTTTTTTGAGACAGAGTTTCATTCTTGTTGCCCAGGCCGGAGCGCAATGCTGTGATCTTGGCTAACGGCAACCTCTGCCTCCTGGGTTCAAGAGATTCTCCTGCCTCAGCCTCCCGAGTAGCTGAGATTACAGGCATGCGCCACCACACTTGGCTAATTTTGTATTTTTAGTAGAGATGGGGTTTCTCCATATTGGTCAGGCTGGTCTTGAACTCCGCCCGCCTTGGCCTCCCAAAGTGCTGGGATTAGGGGCATGAGTCACTTCGCCCAGCCCAGAAAAGATTATTTTAACCAATATAATAGCTATTATAAGCCTTTGCTCCATAAAGGTACAGCTAAAATGCTTAATAGGGCCAGGCATGGTGGCTTATGCCTGTAATCCCAGCACTTTGGGAGGCCAAGATGGGAGGATTGCTTGAGCCCAGGAATTTGAGACCAGCCTGGGCAACAGGCTGATACTCCCATCTTTACAAAAAAGAAAAAACAAATTGTCAGGCGTGGTGTTGCATGTCTGTAGTCCCAGGTACTTGGAAGGCTGAGGTGGGAGGATTGCTTGAAACTGGGAGGCTGAGGCTGCAGTGAGCCATAATCATGCCACTGTCTTCCAGCCTGGGCAATATACAAGACCCTGTCTCAAAAAGCAAAATAAAATAAAACACTTACTACTCAGTATTATATTCTTCTTTAGAAATACCATATTCAAACCTGAAGCCTATTGTCTTTACATATGTTGTAATTAGTATTTAACAATAGATTTCAAACTCACTGGGAAGATAAGACATTACTAACATGTGTTGATATTTCAGCTTTAGCATCATGTCACTGGGTAACAGCTTATGATCTTTTTTCTTTCTCTTTTGAAAAATTTCAAACTTTCAGAGAAGTCAAAAGGATAGCAAAATGAATACCCTAAGCCCATCCTTCATGCTGATTCTTAATGAACATTTTCTCCCACAATATTCTCTTTCCATATAAACTCATATTTTGCTGAATCATTTGAAAGTAAACTGCAGACAGTATGAGATCTCACCCTTCAATATTTCAGCAAATATATTCTAGAAGAATAGTTTACTTTTTAAAATATTTTACTTAAAAATATTTTTTACAGGTATGCCTACCACCTACATTCTACCATTAACATCTTTCTGTAATTGCTTTGTCACATTTCTATCCATCCATTAATCCATCTTATTTTTAGTACATTTCCAAGTAACCTGAAGACATCAGAATACTTCCTAAATACATCAGCAAATAGGCTTATCACTACCTACAATTCATGATTTGTTTTTTCCTTTTGATGTAAAATTTACATACAATGAAATGTACGTATATACTTCCTGAGTTTTGATAAATGAACATATGTAACTAAAACCCTTATCAAGATACAGAACATTACTCTAGAAAGTTCCTTCATATGAAAATGCAGAATGGTTCATGAATTTATATGCTGTTCTTGTCCAAGAGTATGACTGCTTTATTGGAAAAAGAAAAAAAAGGTTTAACAAGGCTTATTTTCTCTAAAAAATTACCTGTTCACAATACCTCTCTTTTTTAGTGTGCTGAAGGAGGCAGCTGAATTATACATAAAGTTGAGATGGTCATTTATGAGATTCACTAGAACAGGGTTCTGCAAACTGCAAATATGTCTGCCATCTGATTTTGTGAATGAAGTTTTACTGGAACACAGGTAAGCTCATTCATGTATGTATTGTCCATGGCTGGTTTTGCACTGCAACTATGGCAGAGTTAAGTAATTATGATAGACAAAATGGTTGGGAAAGCTGAAAATTATTTTGGCTCTTTACAGTAAGTTTGCCCACCTCTGCTCTAGAAGATGATTTGGTATCTTTCACTGTTTCAGATAATTAATGAAACGAATAAACATATACCAATAGAATATAGAAACAAAATTTATGATCAAAGCTGAGACTAATTACATTGAGGCCAATGTAATTGCCTTCTGAGAGTCGGCAGCTTTGTTTTACTAATCACAGTAATTGTGTGTGGGGCGTGGGGTGGATGTAATGAATAAAAAGTCCTATAAATTAAAAAGCAATTTATTTTTCTCTTAATGAGATAGAACACTACAAGAAACAAAGGTTCATTTAATAAACATATTGAATATGTAAAAATATAACCTAATTCCCTATTTTAGTCAGAGGAGAGACAAGAAAAAGAAAAAGAAGAATAGGGAAATAAGAGACCAGGTGCAGAAATACATTGTAGTGGTTGGAGGTAGAAACAGGAACACACAAAAAGAAAAAATCTACAAAGTAGACTCTAGCATAGTGTCTAGTACAAAAATAGATGCTCAATAAGTATAATGACTGAATAAGTATAAATTAAAGGGCCTTTCTCACTTATTCTGCAGGCTTTAAACTCAGTCATCATCTCTCATTAGTGTCCTTTGAAATGCTAACTTGTCTGCAGAGTTCACTCACTTCCTTAAGAATGAGATGCAGACAGGGAAGGAGCCCTCCTCAGGGCTAGATAAAATTCAGCAAAGGACTGTCTGGTCTGTGTTTAAAGGTTCTAAGTAGCTATTTATTTTGTTTCTCATTCCAAAGTATCTCATTCCTACAGGTCACAGGAGACTGTAATGTTATATAAAATTACTGGCCAACATAAATCAGTTCAGAACATTGTAGAATATGTACAACTTCAGGACACTGTGGTCTCTTCTCCTGGGAATAATAAATATCTCCTAAATTACACAGAGACAATTTCTATTATGGGGTAAGGGGTACTCTGTAAAAATGCACTAATGAGGAAAAGAAAATTTATTATCACAAAGATTCAGTGTGCTCAATGGGAGGACACAAAATTAAGACACAGAGGTGCATGCTTTTTTAAAGATATGTAAATATAGCAGTAGTTCTCTATCTTTAGAAGGACCTGTAGGGCCTGTTAAAACCAAGACTGCTGATGTCCAGCCCAAGTTTCTGATTTAGTAGCTCTGGGGTTGGGCTAGGATTGCCAGAAAAAAAAAAAAAAAAAAAAAAAAAGACAATGCCTAGTTAAATTTGAATTTCAGAGAAACAACAAATAGTTTTTATGCTCCAAATACTGAAATATTTTATTTTTATTTGCTAAATCTAACAACCCTAGAATTTGCATTTCTAACAGATTTTGAAGAGATGCTGATGCTGCTGGTCTAGGGACCTTACTTTGAGAACCACTGAGATATAGGATATTATGTTATCACCAAAAAGGAAAATTTGGGGGAGGAGGGAAGGTGAGTAGATCAGGCAAGAGTTCCTGGAGGAAAGGACAAGGACAGGGGATGGGTCTTTAAGGGTGCCTAGAAGCTAGCCAGAAGAATATTAAGAGAGGAAAGCTTTGAGCAAAGGGGCAGAAATGTCAGAAAACGCCTAACATTTTTTTTTTTTTTTTTTTGAGACAGAGTCTCGCTCTGTGCCCCAGGCTGGAGTGCAGTGGCGCGATCTCGGCTCACTGCAAGCTCTGCCTCCCAGGTTCACGCCATTCTCCTGCCTCAGCCTCCTGAGTAGCTGGACTACAGGCGCCCGCCGACGCGCCCGGCTAATTTTTTGTATATTTAGTAGAGACGGGGTTTCACCGTGTTAGCCAGGATGGTCTCCATCTCCTGACCTCGTGATCCGCCTGTCTCAGCATCCCAAAGTGCTGGGATTACAGGCGTGAGCCACCGCGCCCGGCTTAGAAAACGCCTAACATTTTAAGGAAATTACAAGAAGCTTGGTGTTGCTGGTGCATAAAGTTTAATGCAGGTGGTGTTAGATAAAACTGGAAGGACAGAGGCCAGAGAGTACTAGGACCTTATGTACCCTGTGAATAAGCACTTAGGGGTTTACACTGTAAAACAATCAGCTTACATGATGGGGAGCAATTTAAAGGGTTTTAGGCAGAGCAGGGACTTGACCAGATTTGCATTTTTAGAAAGATCATTTGGGTGGAGGATCAGAAGCACTATGATAATGTGTTCAAGAGTATTTGAAATAGCGTTATTTATGGAAACCATTTTTAATATAATTCTGCACAGACACAGACTGCTGGAGGCTACACCAGAGAAGGGAATAGAACAATACTCAATTCACTATGAAATTTATTTAAGGTCCCTGCTAACTTGGCTCTCACTGATGCCAGAAGGACAGCATTTAATTTTTAAAAATACCAAATAAAAATGCATGGTTACAAAACTTTGTAGTTGGCTAGAATATATTATTTTGAAAATTTATTCTTAAGCCTCTTTGATAACCTGTAAAATTATTTAAAATAAGACTTAAAAACAGGTACTGACATTATAAAAGCATTCATGCTAATCAAATAATTTCTGCAAAAAAAAATTAAAAAAATTAAAAAGCAGCTTTCTATTTACTGCCTATTTCATTTCTTAAGCATGTTTAGGGGCCTTTCTACTTGTCAGAAATAAAATCCATTACAGTGATGATGTCCAGACTTAAGGCTCAAAGGAGGCTAGGTGCTAGTCTGGAGTTGGAAATCCTGGAGGCCAGTCCTGTTTTACCAGAGTGGACCTAACGGGCTTTAATTTTCTCAACTGTGAACTGAGTTAGAAGAGATCATTTGCAAAGCAGCATTCTCTTTTACTAATTTCCAACATAAGCAAAGGACATCTTCACCTATTTTCAGACAACATTTAAGGACAAAAATGTGTTGTCCAGTGTGTATATAAAATACATTAAAATATTCTTGGCTTAATCAAGGTCACTTATCTAAGATTCAACATGTCCTGAAAGACCAAGCGTCAAAAGGAATATTCCTTTCAGTGCTCTTTTTCAGTATATTTCGCTATGATACCAACAACTATATTAGCAAAAGATATAGAAGTGCTGCCTTGGAATGACACTTGTTTTCACTGCACGTTCATAGTACAAAACCTGTGACCCACCAGTTTTGCGGCTGAAGGGAAAAGTTAATTTGTCCATATTTCATTTTTCCTTATTTAAAATAACGAAATAATCGATAGGAACAAAAGCTAAAATCTACAGTGGCCATGAAGCAAGCACCACTTAGAAACCTCTGTATTAACGTCAGGAGCCAAGTTCTATTACCCAAAAGGGCAGGCTGGCTGAGGAGTGGAGGCTGGACGCATCATCTCAGCAAATGACTACTGCAAAGCTGCCACGCTTGCACAAACTCAGGGATGTTTATTTACTAGCTTGCTTCCTCAAAACGAGTTTAGGTCATCAGCAGAGATTAAAGCAGGCCTCTACACCACTCTATGAAGTCCTGACTCCCACGGCGCATTCTGGGACAGTGAGTGTCCATGAAAACCATACCTGTAATCGCAAAGCTTGGGTTGACAGCCACACTGCTGCTTGCAAACCATACAGTAACTGCACAGGGGCACGTTGCCCCTGATCCAGTGGTGGGGCATGGCGTCCAGGACCTTGGCGTCATTCTTGAGCATAATCTCCTTGCACTGGAAGCGCCTGTCGGCCTTCTTGAGGCAGCCCTCGTCCACCCGGAGCCCGCAGCAGTCGCAGAAAGCGCCCTGCAGAATGTGCTGCGCGCACACGCAGCAGTAGGTGGGCTGACTGAACAGGTCCGTGTCGCGCCACCCGTGCTTGCTCTTGCGGAAGATGTCTCTGCGGTGCAGCAGCCGGCGCGACCGCTGGAGGCTACACCAGAAGGTGATGAACACCGGCAGCAAGACCGAGCACAGCGTCCACAAGATCAGGTGCCCGTCCGCAAACAGGCCCTCGGAGGGCGAGGCCGGCGCCGGCCGCCTCTCCGCTTCCATCTTCTCCAAGGACGATACCTAACGAGGAAAGAAACAGGCGGTGCACCCCGGGCTCGCCATCCCTTCCCCGCTCCCCTCCTGCCTTTCTGGGGCCAACCCGGGCGCCCTGAGTCCAGGTGGCTCCGCTCTCCCGAGGGCGGCGCTGCGCCTCGTACCCCGGTCGCCCGGGACCTGCCGCGCCGAGAAGGCGACGTCCAGCCGTCACGCTCTAGTCCCCACTCCCCAACCCGCCCCACGTCGGGAGCGCGTCCAGGAGCCGAAGGCGGCTGCTGCTGTCGCCGCCGCCGCCTCACCTCCCCGCCAGTCTGACCCACGAAAGGGCGCAACACACAGGGGCAAGCTGCCCTCCACCGAAAGGCCGGGCGTTCAGGCCACGCGACGCCGGTCGGCGCCCGTAACCGTCGGCCCAGGCCTGGCACTCCCCTCCGGGCGCAGTCTCCTCCCGGGCCCCACCTGCCCCCACGCGCGGCCCGGCGCCCTCGCCCCTCTCGGGAGGCTTCCGGAGACCTGCGCCGCGCCGGTCCTCGAGCCCTAGCTCGCGCGGGCGGAGGCGCGGCTCCTGGCCAGGCCTTGGCCGCCCTCGCGCAGGAGGAGTGCGACGCTGGGCCGCAGGCGGCGATGAAGCCGGGGCGGGGGGAAAACGCTTGAGGCTCCAGCCGCACGCACGCCGACCCGGCGCGCGGGGCCGCGAGCAGGAGGCGGGGCCTACGGCTGCGAGCCCCTGGTTGGGCGGAGCCAGGGCTGACGGGCGGGGCGGAGGTGTGAGGTGGGAGGGGAGACGGACCGGCCTGAGGGGGTGGGGCCGTGGAGGAGGCTGGAGATGGATGGAAGGGCAGGGCACTGCGGCTGGGGGCGGGGCCTAGGGGAAGGGGGCGGAGCAACAGTGGGGCGTTTGAGATGATGGAGGGTTGAACGCCAAAAACTCATAATCATAGAAAATTCTGGAGCGCCGCGGCGGGGGAGGGCCGCGCTCGGCGCGGACACGAGTGCCCCCGGCATGAGCCGAACCTCTAGCCTATACTGCCGCCACCGCGGAAGCGTACGCTGACTGGGAACCGAGGTGGGATGAGGCGGAATGAGGCCTGCGCGGCGCCGCCGCCCGCCATGGCCGCGGCCGGCTGAGGTAGGTGCGGCGGCCGCAGTCGCGCAGACCCGAGCGCTCCTCCGCTGAGGACCGGCGGGCGGGCGTGGAGGCCTAGGGCGAGCGGGGTAGCCGCCCGCTCGTCGCCGCTGACCCGGAGCCCGGCCGCGGTTTCCGCTCCCTCCGGTGGCGGGCGGGCCTCCCATCCACCACCCTGCCGCCCGCGCCCGCCAGCGCCGGAGGCCGGGGAGAAAGGGGAGCAGCGGGAGCCGGAGACCACCGGAGATGGGAGCACACCTCGTGCTGCTGTAGTCTAGCCGCAGGTTCCGGAGGAATGCCCGCTCCCGGCTGGAGTGCTACTGGCCCCACGTGGACCTGAGCCGCGACCACGCGGGCTGCAGCCTGCAGCACATCAGGGACCCGGAGAACGCGGACGCGAAAGCGCCGCCGCTCAGCACTCCCGAAGAAACACGGAATCCGGAGAGGCACAGGCGCCGCCCCAGCGCGCACAGCTCCACTCAGCGGCTTCCTTCCTACCACACACGTAGGAATGGGAGCCGAGGACTTGCTTGAGGACTTCCTCTAGCGTAAAAGATGGAAAGAAAACACACACCGAAGCAAGGGACCAAAGGAACAGAAAAGAAACAGAGATCATAGGAAAACTGCGAATAAATACCTGATATCTTCCAAAGGATTAGAGAAGACATAACATTCATTAAGAATGCACCTATAGATGTGTGTATATATATACGTGTATGTGTGTATGTATATGTGTGTATATATATGCATATGTGTGTGCGTATATGTGTATTAACTGTAGAAGATAAAGGTTGACACTAGTAAAAGTGGTAAGAGCAGATTTACAATGTACTGTTGTAATAGGGAAGAAGGTACCTCGTGAACAGGACTGAACTTTGTGCAGAAGTGACTGGGTGTTTCAGAGGAGGAGAGAGGGAGTATGAAGGGGATGAGCAGGAACTCAGTAGTCAGGAAAGTGAAACTTGTGAAGGGTGGGTCAATGTAGGTACGGTTAGGCGACAGTGCCTATTATATGACTGTTATGGGAGTCAGGGTCCTATCCTCCCACGGGAACTGGGAGATAGGCACTTTGCTTCCTGGTAATTGCATGTTGGAGGAATGGCTTTCAGGTTCTTGAGAAGGACACTCCTGATGTGTCGGAGACATTACAACCCAGAGAGAGGAAGGATTCACAATTGTTTAGTTTGTTGTTGTTGTTGTTACCTCTTTAAGATTTAAAAAGGGACATCAGGGGCTGCTTGTAAGGTGTTGCCAATAACCAACAGTGAGTTCTTTTGGCAGCTTTCCAAGGCAGACACTTTAGGGGGTCTGGGGGGGGTCATCCTATGGATGCAGCTTTGAGTAGTTAAAAATTGTGTGTTTAGGCCAGGTGCAGTGGCTCACGCTTGTAATCCCAACACTTTGGGAGGCCGAAGCAGGTGGATCACGAGGTCAGGAATTCAAGATCAGCCTGGCTAAGATGGTGAAATCCCGTCTCTACCAAAAATAGAAAAAATTAGCTGGGCGTGGTGGTGGGCGCCTGTAATTCCAGCTACTCGGGAGGCTGAGGCAGAGAATTGCTTAACACGGGAGGCGGAGGTTGCAGTGAGCCGAGATCACACCGCTGTACTCCAGCCTGGGCGACAGAGCGAAACTCCATCTCAAAAAAAAAAAAAAGAAAAAGAAACAAACTATGTGTTTAAGCCTTTTAATATGGGCGAAGGATGGACCATATCCTGTTTTGCTGAAGTCTGCAGATTTCACAGGCCAAGGTGGAGGCCTAGTTGAAAAGGGGGCTCAGGGAAGCCTGGCTAGAGCTTGGTCAAGGAGGGGATCTTCATCAGTCTGTATGTATATACACGGCATGTGGACATGCATAGACACGCGTATGGTGGAGGCTGTCTTACGAGGATTCTGCACAACTCAGGTCCCCTAATGGGAACAGAGTTGGGGAGGTCACTCTTGAGGCTTTTTTGTGGTATTGTGGCTACTGGGAGACCTGAGGAGCGTTCTGACCACTAGCAGACTCATTTCATTCACCCCTTGGAATCTGCTCAGGCCTTGGACTTCCGTATAATAGTAACTTCACCCCCCAATGATCCTCCATGTTCCTTACTGATGCTGTGATTGCTCCTCCAAGTTCTCTACCTATGTCCATGTGAGCACTTGGTATTTCTACTCTAGTGTAAGAAGGTCCTGGTCCCGAGTCTCCTCCCAAACATTTATTCCAATTGATCATCCAGATGCCCCTCCTTTGCCATCCCTCTTTGTTCCAGCAAAGAACACCACCCCTCAGGGAGATACTCACAGTGGACTCCTTGTCCTCATCCTGACTCCCCTTTTTTCTGGCACTCACAGGCCTCAGTGAGTCGGTCTCTGGCTGCAGCACAGGTCCTGGACTTGAGCGCATCTCTCCATCCCCACCTCCACTACTCCCCTGGTCCAACTGTCACCATTCTCACCCTGGAATCACTGTCGCAGCCTCCCAGCTTGTCTGCCTGCTTTACCATGTTCCCTGCATGCTGCCTCTGAACTTTTATATTGAAATGAAACTCTTACTGTGGGGAGAACCCCTCCATCCTCAGACCTCTGGTACCCTTCACTCACTTCCCACTCTGGCCATCATTCACTGAGTTCAGGCCACTCTGGCCTCTGCATGGTCCTCACGCCCACCAGACTCATGCCCCTTTCAGGGCTATTGTCAGTTCCACCCCCTTTTCCTACAAAGTTCTCCATGTCTTCATTTTTCAGGTGCTGCCTCCCGACAGAGGCCTTGCTGACCACCCCTACCAAGATTGCCCCACCCTCCCACGTGTCACTCTCCTCCCTTCCCTCTTGATTTTTCTCCATAAAACTGGCACCTCCTTACATGCTGTGTTGTGTGTTTAATTATATTGTTTAATTATATCTGCCTTAAAGGAGAGCAGCATTAAGACAGGGACTTTCTAATCTTCATTGCTATCTTTAACCAAAGCACTTGTTTTTTTTTTTTGTTTGTTTGTTTGGTTTTTGAGATGGAGTCTCGCTTTGTCTACCAGGCTGGAGTGCAGTGGCACGATCTAGGCTCACTGAAACCTCTGCTGCCCGGGTTGAAGTGATTCTCTTGCCTCAGCCTCTCAAGTAGCTGGGATTACAGGTGCCTGCCACCACACCCAGCTAAGTTTTGTATTTTTAGTAGAGACAGGGTTTCACCATGTTTGCCATGCTGCTCTTGAACTGCTGACCTCAGGTGATCCACCTACTTCAGCTTCCCAAAGTGCTGGGATTAGAGGTGTGAGCCACTGCACCCGGCTGAACCAAAGCACGTCTGCAGCTGCTGTCCCTGTCATTGATCTATGTGACTTCCCCTCCACCACAGTTATTCAAAATGTCTCTTGCTGCTTCCCTTCCACCAGGATAACACCCATCTGTGCTCACTGCCTAATGAGGGGACATCACTGGTGTCTGAGTACACTAACTGTGGGAACCTTGGTTTAATTTTGTGAGAGAGAAGTCTCCTCAGTTTTCCACTGAGAAATGTTTTTGGTGATTTTGAGAGGAGATGGGGAAAAGTGATGTGGGGTTCCCCAATGTTGTCCAAGGGGATTTCTTCTTAGAAATTTCTCACTACATCACTCTTGTAGTGAAATAAAACCATTTCCATGCAATTTATCAATTTTGTTTTTTGAAAAATACCCGCTATTTGAATCTAACTATTATAGAAATTTCTCTTTAAACATTCCCTTTTACTTTATCCCAAAATAAATTTCCCTTTGCATAAGATTTTTCTTTTTTTCTTTTTCCAGACAGTCTCACTCTGTTGCAGTGGCGCAATCTCGGCTTACTGCGAGCTTCACCTCCCAGGTTCATGCCATTCTCCCACCTCAGCCTCCTGAGTAGCTGGAACTGCAGGCGCCCACCACCCACGCCTGGCTAATTTTTTTTTTTGTTTTGTGTGTTTTTTGTTTTTTGTTTTTTGTTTTTTTTTTGAGACGGAGTCTCGCTTTGTCGCCCAGGCTGGAGTGCAGTGGCACCATCTCGGCTCACTGCAAGCTCTGCCTCCTGGGTTCACGCCATTCTCCTGCCTCAGCCTCCGAGTAGCTGGGACTACAGGCACGCACCACCACGCCCGGCTAATTTTTTGTATTTTTAGTAGAGACAGGGTTTCACCGTGTTAGCCAGGATGGTCTCGATCTCCTGACCTCGTGATCCGCCTGTCTCGGCCTCCCAAAGTGCTGGGATTACAGGTGTGAGCCACCGTGCCTGGCTTTCTTTGTATTTTTAGTAGAGACAGGGTTTCGCTGTGTTAGCCAGGATGGTCCCAATCTCCTGACCTCATGATCTGCCCGCCTTGGCCTCCCAAAGTGCTGGGATTGCAGGTGTGAGCCACCATGCCCGGCCAAATATTTCAACAAATACATATGCCAAAAAATGATGCTTTCACTTATGAGTTAAAACTATTGGGACTATAACTCTAGAAAAAATATTGCAGTTGAGTACTGAAAGTCTTTATTGATAAATGAAATCTATTTTCAAAGTATAATACAATAATTTTGTAGAGAATAAAATAGAAATTGTTCACGTAGGAGATTAATACATAAATAATATTTACAGAGCATTGTCTTGAGAAATGCAGTTTGATGATGTTTCAGTCTGAGCAAAAGATGAGGCTCTCAAGTATGGCATTTCTTTTGCTGCTAATGAGAGAGAATCCAGACTTTGCTGATGTGCTGCAGGATCTCCTGTATTGTTTAGATTTGGAGGAATTGATCATGAAGGAGCTGACTGCAGCGTTAGGAAGGGAAGGTGGAAACTTCAATGCAGGAAGGGACTCCCCTGGATCCACTGGCCTCAGGGACCCTCGGATGGAGTTAACGTGGGAGAACCTAGCCTGGCAGCTCTGGAGGCCTGAGTGGAAGGGAGAGAACAGTGCTGACCTAAGACCCAGGCCCTCCTGGGGAAGGGAGCAGCAGGGCTTGGCTCTTGGCTGCTTGGCTGGTGTGGAAAAGCTCCTAGTGATGGGGTGACTCCCATGGCCTCTTCCAGGGACTCCAGCATTGATAACATCTCTGCCAGCCCTTCTTGTTGCTTGGAGAGTCTGGATCGCTCTTCTTTTTTCTTTTCTTCTTCTTTAAACCTCTCTTCTTTCAGTTCTTGAACCAGGGATGTGATTTTTTTTATATTTTATTTTATTTTATTTTTTATTTTATTTATTTATTTTATTTATTTATTTTATTTTATTTATTTTATTTTATTATTTTATTTTATTTTATTTATTTTATTTTATATTTTATTTTTTTATTTTTATTATTTTATTTTATATTTTATTATATTTTATATTTTATTTTATTTTTATTTTATATTTTATTTTATTTTTATTTTATTTTATTTTATTTTATTATTTTATTTTATGTTATTTTTTGAGATGGAGTCTTGCTCTTGTCGCCCAGGCTGGAGTGTAATGGTGCGATCTCAGCTCACTGCAACCTCCACCTCCCAGGTTCAAGCAATTCTCCTGCCTCAGCCTGCTGAGTATCTGGGATTACAGGCACCTGCCACCGTGCCTGGCTAATTTTTGTATTTTTAGTAGAGATGGGTTTCACCATGCTGGCCAGTCTGGTCTTGAACTCCTGACTCAGGTGATCTGTCCACCTTGGCCTCCCAAACTGTTGAGATCACAGGCATGAGCAGCTCTGCCCTGCTAGGATGTGCATTTCTGTATCAGCATTGCGTTGGTGCTGTTCACCTTGTAAGCATCTACAAAACTGGGGATATTTAAATACTTTTTTGTACCCGACATCCTCTAAATATCCCTCAATCTCTGCAGTGTGTTTTTTTTTTTTTTGGCATCACCGTGCTTGCCCATGAGTTGGCGTTTCTCCTCAATGTGTGAATCTAGTGTTTCTGCAAGCTGCTTTGCATACTGCTTTTCATATGTTACATGGAGTCGATTCCTAACAGGTTGACTAAGGAAATGAAAGCCACGAAAGTTAGGATAGTAGTTCCCTCTGATGGGGGAGAAGGTGTACCAAACAACTGGGCACACCAGAGCTCCCAATCTTCAATATGTTAACATGGGTGGTGGGTACACAGGTGTTTGTTTTATTGTTATTTTAAAAACTGTGTGTATATGTTTTACAAACTCTTCTGTATGTGTGACAGGTTTCAAAATATAAACATTAAAAAGTTTGAGTAAAGAATTACTTAGGGATTTTGTTAAGAAGGCAGATTCTTAGCTCTGTTTCATATTCTGATTCCAGAGACCTGGTCAGGACCACAGAATCCACAATTTTTTTTTTTTTTGAGACGGAGTTTTGCTCTTGTGGCCCAGACTGGAGTGCAGTGGTGTGATCTCGGCTCACCACAACCTCCACCTCCCGGGTTCAAGCGATTCTCCTGCCTCAGCCTCCCGAGTAGCTGGGATTACATGCATGTGCTACCATGTCCAGCGAATTTTGTATTTTTAGCAGAGATGGGGTTTCTCCATGTTGGTCAGGCTGGTCTAGAACTCCCGACCTCAGGTGATCCGCCAACCTTGGCCTCCCAAAGTGCAGGGATTACATGCGTGAACCACCGTGCCTGTCTTTTTTAATTTATTTTTTGAGACGGAGTCTTGCTCCGTCCCCAGGCTGGAGTGCAGGTACACCCAACTAATTTTTGTAATTTTAGTAGAGATTGGGTTTCACCATATTGGCCGGGGTGATCTAGAACTCCTGACCTTGCGATCTTCCCGCCTTGGCCTCCCAAAGTGCTGGGATTACAGGCATGAGCCACCGCACCCAGCCCAGCATCCACATTTTTAAATGAAGCTAATGCAGGTGGTTTGAAAACCAGTCTGAGGTGTGTCATATACTCCATGCCCATGTTACATGGAGTCCATTCCTAGCACATTGACTAAGTCTAAATAAAACTAAGAGACCCATCACAGCCTGTGAGGTGTTGATACAGCAGTGTCTTCCCATGGAGGCTGTAGAAAGTGACTTGAGGACTTGAGTCATGGGGTGGCAGCCCCACCATCTATCTCCTCATCCAGCTTCCCAGGGTTCAGTCCAGAGTACAGCTCCACAGAGGATTGCAGCCCCTCCATGATGCTGCAGTCCCACACAGCCAATGGTGGGACTGAGATCACTGTGTTTTAACTTAGTCAACCAAGTCAGCTTCAACTGAAATTAAACCATTAGAGAGAGACTTTCTCTTATTCTGCTACTTCTCTGAGAGCCTTGTCCTGGAAATCGTGTTAAAATGCAGATTCTGATTTCCTTTCTCAGGGAAGAGGCCTGATAACCTGCATTTCTAAGAAGCTCCAAGGTGCTGCCACAGGGCTCTGCCTAGTAACCATGGATTCCACAGCCCCAACAGACACCAGAGAACATCCCACCATTCCGCCTGCACCCAATCAGCAGTGGGCATCCTGGATTGGTTAATTTTATGATCAGTTAGAGGGAGAAATTTGTAAATGAAATCTACTTGTCTCAAAAAAAAAAAAAAAAATCCAGTAGGAATGATTTACAGTATAAGTTAAGCTTATCTATGACCTTCAGCTTCCCCACTTTCTCACCGTGTGGTGAGAGCTGGCACAGTTTTGAATGTTGGGATGTAGAAAACCGGCAATTTTGAGAATGTTATATACTAAAGAATGGGACAGTTCAAGTCAAAAATTGATAAATGGTAACTTGTGCTCTTGCTGGTTATTTATTAAACACGTACTGGCTGAGAACTTACTATGTGCCAAGCATTGCACAGCTCCTGCAGAGTGCCAGGCCTGTCAAAACGTACCCAACAAGAAGCATTATTTACAGGCACTGTTTACAGACACTGCACCCAGCTTCCATCTCTGCACTTGCTATGCACCATGTAGGTTTATCATCCCCATTTTACAGATGAAAAGACCCAGGCACAGAGAGGTTGAGAAACATGCTTCATGTCACACAGCCAATGGTGGGACTGAGATCATTGTTTTAACTTGGTCAACCAAGTCAACTTCAACCGAAACCATTAGAGAGACTTTCTCTTATTCTGCTACTTCTCTGAGAACCTTGTCCTGGGAATCTTGGTAAAATGCAGATTCTGATTTCCTTTCTCAGGGAAGAGCCTGAATAACCTGCATTTCTAAGAAGCTCCAAGGTGTTGCTGCTAGTTCCAGGAGCACACTTTTGAATTTGGAGACTGAGGTATTTAAGAGTCTGTATTGTGAAAATGGAGGGCAGTGTAATGAAGTGGGAGGAGTGTTAGATGGGATTGTGAGGCCTGGGAACGGAACCAGGACCTCAGACATCTGTGTCCCCTTATGCTTGTCACTTCACTTTCTTGGACTCAGATGAGATCTCTAAAGTATAACTTCTGCTTTGGTAGCCTGCACAGTGTGTGAAAGTGTCGTTGTCTTCTATGAATCCTAGCTGATGCAGAACCCTTAAATTAGTTTAGATTTGAAGATATAACAAAATAATATACTTTAAAAAAGTGACGGACTGGGCACGGTGGCTCACACCTGTAATCCCAGTACTTTGGGAGACTGAGGCGGGTGGATCCTTTGAGGCCAGGAGTTCGAGACCAGCCTGGCCAACATGGTGAAACCCCATCTCCACTAAAAATAAAAAATTAGCTGGGTGTGGTGGTGCGTGCCTGTAATCCCAGCTACTCGGGAACCTGAGGCAGAAGAATCGCATGAGTCCAGGAGGTGGAGTTTGCAGTGAGCCGAGATTGTTCTACTGCACTCCAGCCTGGGTGACAGAGTGAGACTCCGTCATACACACACACACACACACACACGCACACACACACTCACTCTGAAAGGTTTTCCCCCATCCCCATTATAGAGTATTTGAAAAAGTAAAAAGGAAGAAAAGAATCACCATCTCTCACTCCAAAGTCCCTTGTGTTTGAACATTTTGGTCTATTCCCATTATTTTCTGTGGAAACTGATTTACTTTTTTGTATGCATACTTTTGATGACATGATAGATATAGTTTCTGTGTGGCTGTTATTTAGCATTACAAAGTAACTTTTATATGTTATTAAAAAGTCTTATTTAATGGCTACATTATACTCCATTCTATGAATATAGCTTACAGTGTGTATAGTCTTACTTTTGTTGTAGCTATTTCTGATATTTTGCTGTTATAAATAATTCCTCTGTTTAGGGTTATTTCCTTAGATTCTCACATTTAGTTAAAGAATTTGAAGAGTTTAAGGCCTATGGGAAAGCTTTTAAGAATAATAGTCTCTCTTTGCTAAGTAAATTTTTATCTGGAAAATTTACCTGTGTAGGGACGGATTAATGGAAATTACCACACCTGAGGAGATACACTCTTAATTCACTAAAAGCAATAATAATAATATTTGTGGCCAACCTGTGTTGATGAGTTAGTAGGTCCGAGGCACTGTGCTAAGTTTATTATCCTTATTTTACAGATGAAGAAAACCTGCTTGATATCATATAGTCAGGAGCCAACCAAGTTGGGGCTTTGAACATAGGTTTATCTGATGCCAAAGTTTGTGATGCTCTTCAACTATTTAGGGTGCCTCAGAGTGTGGATTTTGAATCACCTGCATCAGCATCATTTAAAAATATGGATTCTGTGGTGCTGACCAGATCTCTGAAGTCAAAATATGAAGTGGAGCTAGGAATCTACCTTCTTAACAAGTTCCCTAGGTAATTCTTTATTCAAACGTTTTTTGTTTATATTTTGCAATGTGCCACACATGCAGAAGAGTTTATAAAACACATATACACAGTTTCAAAAGTAATAGTAAAATCCACTACCCAGGTTAACATATTGAAGATTTGAGAGCTCTTGTGTGCTCATTTGTTTGATACACCTTCTCCCCCATCAGAGGGAACTACTCTTGTAACTTTTGTGGCCTTCATTTCTTTGCTTTTCTTTATAGATCCCTGAGGGTATCCCTGAATGATACAGTTTTGTTTGAAAGACTGAAAAGTCCAAACCTGGCACTTTTGGGAAATAGCAGTAAATCATTGATATGTGAAGGTTCCCAGCAGGAGGTAAGCTGAGCAGTGTCTTTGGGACAGAGTATGGATTCAGCTTCCTTGAGAAGATTCCACCTGGGGAAGTCAGTGGGCAAGGTCTTGGAAAGATTGTTAATCATAGTGAGGGCATCTGAGCAGGGCTGTGGTTTGAACAGCTGGCAAAAATATGGCTGAAGAGGAAGGAGGCTGCTTTTTATCTTTGCAGCTCAGCTCACTAGGACCTCCCTTGAGTTCTCAGAAGAAGATTAACAAAGAATGCCTCTCAGGGAGACATGAGTATCTTCAGCTAATCCATGCAATGGGGCATGGGAATGGGGACATGGGAGAACAGGGAGCCCATCAGCTCCTGGTTCTTGTCTTAATCTGTTTTCTGTTGCTATAGCAGAATACCTGAGATTTGGAAATTTAGAAAGAAAAATGGTTCATCTGGCTTATAGCTGTGGAGGCTGGGAAGTCTAAGGGCATGGTGGCAGCCTCTGGTGACGGCTTTTGCTCTGTGTCATAACATGAACAAAAAGTCGAAGGGCAAGCCAGTGTGTGCAAAAGAGACCACAAGAGAGAGCCAAGCTCAATTTTATAACAACCCGCTTTCAGGAGAACTAACTCACTCCTGTAAGAACTAATTCACTCTCAAGAGAACAAACTCACTCCGCAAATAACAGCCTTATCCATTCAGGAGGGTGGTGCTCCCATGACCTAGTCACCTCTTAAAGGCCCCAGCTCCCAATACCATCAGTGGCAATAAAATTTCGACATGAGTTTTGGCAGGGACAAGGGACACTCAGATCATAGCAGTCATTAAGATCAAGTACAAATAAGCTTCCGTATCAGGCTCAACAGGCAGCCTGTCCTTAGACAGCGTTCTTTCACTGAGTAATATGCATTTAAGTTTCCTCCATGTCTTTTCATAGCCTGATAGCTCATTTTTTTTTTTTTAGTGCTGAATAATATTCCATTGTCTGGATGTGCCACAGTTTATTTATCCATTCACCTCCAGAAGAACATCTTGGTTGCTTCCAAGTTTTGCCAACTATGAATAAAACTGTGATAAACATCTGTGTGCAGGTTTTTATGTAGACATGAGTTTTCGACTCATTTGGGTAAATGTCCTGTCTTTTAAAAATATGTTTTTCTCTCTTGTGTTTTTAAAACTTTCCTCTTTTTTGCTCTATTATTCTAAAAGATTTCCTTAGCTTTTTTCTTGACTCTACTGTAGAGTTTTAAATTTCTGCTATTATGGTTTTTCATTTCTAAGAAGTATTTTGGTTAATTTGTTTTCTGAACATTCCTTTTTTACAGCATCTTGTTCACGTTCCACACAAGCAAAACTTTGGTCTCTTAGAGAATATTATGTTTATTTATTTTCTCCAGTTGCATGGTGTCTTGATTGCCCCAAGTTGCTCTTTCTTTTATCTTTTTTTGTCTTTATCTTTCATGTCAGAGGCTTTCTAGATGTCTCTTGAACCTCAGGTGATTCTAATGCACCTAATGGTCTGAGAAGCACTGCTAGAGTCTCCTAACCTCTCTGAAGCTTAATCATCCCAACAGAGATCCCACCAAGAAAAATGACACAGTTCAGTATTTTTCCCCAGAACTAGAGCTTTTCTCTTCCAATTAGAGGCCTAGCACTTTTCCTGAATGAAATGTCTTATGACAGTAGCCTTAGAAGTGGTTTTATAAATTATTTTGTGCATGGTTCACTCGCCTAGTATGTTTATTCGTACCCATCTTACGTTCTTCTGCCTGTGCCAATGCTCCTTTGTCCTTGTTTAGGTTGGAGAGAAGCCTGACACTGGCCATCGGGAACATGATGCTGACCTTGGCTGTCCTCACCTGCTGGGCAGACATAGTTGAGGCCAACATCCTGGACCCAGAGTAGAAATTATAGTCCACTTGTGGAGGCATGCAGCAGGCCGGAAAGGCCCTGTCCAAGACCAAAACATCTTACCATTGTATTGCTGCTGCAAACAGGAAGGGGTGTATGCCTGTACAAGTGCTGAGGATATGTAAAGGGAAGCCAGGGCCTGCGGTGTTGGCACAGGGGGCAAGTCAACTCACATTAGAAATGAACCATATTTTCTTTTCTAATAAATACATATTTTTTATTTCAACAATATATAAAGTTGTGTATCTTAATACGTGTGATTAATCTATCTTTAGTCATTCAAAACATTTTTATAAAATAGGGTGCATATGCAAAGAGATTTGGCATAGAGAAGGATGAGAAATAAAAACAATGATTTCCAAGTAGTAGACTTTTACTATGTGTCATGAACTTTACACATATCTCTTTTAAATATTAACTTTATGAGGTGAATTGTATTATAATTCTTTTTTTTAATATAAGTGAGAAAACAGTGATTTGGAAAGTTAAGAAATTTCTCCAATGTCACCCAACTCCAATGTAACACAGGTAATAAGTTTGAGAATCAGCATTCAAGGCCAGGTCTGTTGATGACTCTGCTGCCCACAGTCATAACCATTATACCACACTGCCTACACAATAGACTCTCAGTCACTTTTGATTGAATGTTCTGGCAGGACCCTATTATTAACTTAGATGCAATAGCACCCAGATTTGGACACACCAACCATCCCACTAGAATCCCCTGTATCAGTTAGCTATTGTCAGAGTAATGCTATGTAACAAACCACTCCTATTCTCAGTGGCTTAAAATAACTGTCATTTATTCTCGGAGATCTGCAGGTGATGTGGCTCTGCTTCAGGCTGTGGTAGCTGGAAGTCAGCTGAACTAGGCTGGGCTGGGTCGAATGGGTATCTTTTAAGCTACAGATCTTCATAAACTTGGCTCCTTTCTTAGCTACTTTGCATGTAAGCTAATTCTGAGACTAAGCTTGAAGGGGCAGTAGCCAACCAGGAAGGTCTTTTTGTAGCAATGGCAGACATGCCAGAGGGCACACTTAACTGCACAAACCATTTCACACCCTTGTTAGTGTCATGTCTGCCACCATCCCACTGCCCAAAATGTCATTTGGTTGAGTCCAAAGTCAAGGCACGGGCTGCAAAGTCATGTGTCAGACAGCATAAATTTGGGGTGCTGGTGAAGAATGGATGCTAATAATTCAACCTTCCATAGCTGCCCAAACCTAACATATGCCTGCACAGTGTGCCTATAAATAAATGTTTACAGGGAAGCAAAGTGACGAGGTCTAACATATTTTCTATGTCTATTTCATGAAGATCATCATTGCTGCTGCATAGAGAATGAATTGAAGGAACAGGGAGGGAAGCTGAGATGCCAGCTGGGAACCTGGTGCTAGGTGAGAGATAACAGTGGCCTAGATGTGGGTGGTGACAATAGAGATGGCAGGATCTAGACCTATAAACACCACACACAGCTTATGGAGTTACTATCATTGCTTTAAAGTTACTATCACTACTTTAAAAATACTGTAGTCTAGTTTACCAACTAGACTATAAATTCCATATTTTTACAATGTACATATAATTCTTTACAATGTATATGTGAGGTAGACAGTAAAAAAGATGAAAGCAACTATGGAAAGGACTGTTAGAATTTATTTAATTGACCCTGGGCCTAAAGGATGTGGACACATTATAACTCTCTTGATGGGGACAGATTTGGCATTTTTCTATACTTAAAAAAATGTTCCTTTGGGAGGCCAAGGTGGTAGGATTACTTGAGCCCAGGAGTTCAAGACCAGCCTGGGCAACATAGCAAGACCCTGTTTCTACAAAAATCAATCAATCAATCAATCAAAATAATTAGCTGGGCATGGTAGTGCACACCTGTAGTTCCAGCTATTTGAGAAACTGAGGCAGGAAGATCTTTGGAACCCAGAAGGGTGAGGCTGCAGTGAGCTATGCTTGTGCCACTGCACTCTAGCCTGGGCGACAGAGCGAGATCCTCTCTCAAAAAACAAAAACAAAACAAAGTTCTCTTGTCTCTAAAGTTTCTTTAGTTCAGTGTGATGGCATGTAGAACTCTAGAATGTTGGGTTTGTCATTTGTCAATGACCCTTAAATATCCATGTAATGGGACAGTTCCTTGCAAAAAAAAAAAAAAGGGGAAACTCACCCAAACAAAAAGTTGTATTTGCATGTTGTGAATATGGGTGGTAGCACTCTTCCTTTACAGGCTTTTAAATGTTGTCACAGCAGGACCTCAAATAACATTGTTTCCTTCAACGTTGTTTCATTACAATGTTGATGAGAAAAAAAATTAATTCCAGCCCCGGGCCTGACTGTGTGGAGTTTGATAAGTGGGTAAATATTAATAACTATCTTACTCGTTTTTGTTAATCTTTCTTAAATACATGTATAGCCTTCAATGTTTGATATTAGAAATGTTTTTGGTCCTTATTTAGAAGTTTGGTGATGTTTTGTGACCAGAAGTATGCCATAGGAACTCACCTCTTGTGCATATCAATTAGCTTATGGTAAAATTGGTTTATTCTGGACCATTTGGCTTAAAGTTGCAGTTTCCAAGAATTTATCAGCAATGATGTTGTGAGGATTTACGGTACCGCTTTCCTAGGCCACAACATCTGGTGAATGCCTTCAAGTAGTACATTAATTAAAATAAAAATAGGGAAATAGTTTTAGGTGCAGCAGCACCCTCTCTCTCCACCTCCAGTGATTCTCTGGAGCCGCTGGCAACTTGTTGAATAATTAACCTTGGTGGCCTTGAGCTCTTTCCCCTGATCTTAGTTGTCCCTGGTTCCACTCTCTGCTCTGCCACCTTGTGGATTTATTGGGAATTGCATCTTCTCCTGGGAGCCTTGCCGACTCACCTAGTAATCCCGCTGGGCTTTTCCTGAGCAGGGGATGGGGTTTAGAAGAGAAATCTCATCGCTGTAGTGACACTCAACAATAGGACACTTTGCTCTTTCGATCTTTCTATATTCTTCCCCCTCTCGCTTCTTTTGGGACAATATCCAGAGGCCAAGCTGAAGGGCATTTGATGGCTTTGCCAGTATCACACCTGAACGGCCCTCCCCACCTGAGACCTTGCGGCAGCCTCCCAGGGTGTGATACAGGCCCCGACTCTCCAGTCTCACCACCCCAGTCCACCAGAGGTTTCCTTATGCTTTAAAAATTATAAAAATAATACAAGCTTGCTTAGAGCTTACCAGTGAAGGAGACAGATTTTTAAAAAGTAAACAAATAAATGCAATATATATACATTATGGTGAATGCTGTGAGATGGACAGTAGTGGTGGTGGTGGGGGCAGAGAACTTTTTATTAAGAAGGCTGGTAAGGGCAGGCTTTCCTGAGTAGGAGAAATTTCAAATTGAAACCTGAAGGATGAGATGGATCCGGTTATTAAAAGAGAGAGAAAAAACACATGCAAAGGTCCTGAGGTGGGAGTGGGCTTGTTAAGCTGAAAGTGAGTGAGTGTGGCCAGACGGCAGTGAGCAGGAGGGGAGTGGTTGGAGTAAGGTTGGAAAGGGCATTAGGCACAAATAACACAGGGTCCTGTCGTGCTTGGTAGGGATTTTAATTTTATTCTGACTTTCGTGGGAAGATGAGGAAAGATTCTTATGCAGGGAAGCGACGAGGTCTGACTGATACTTTCTATTTCATCCTTGCTGCTGCCTGGGGAATGGATTGAAGTGAACCAGGAGGGAAACTAGAATCCCATTTGGGAGCCTGATGCCAGAAGCTGGGTGAGGGAAACAGTGACCTAGACTTCGGTGGTGGCAATAGAGACGGAAGGATCTAGACGCATGTTGTCTAATATGGTAGCACTAGCCACATGTGGCTACTGAGCACTTGAAATGTGTAAGTGTAAAATCTACACCAGATCTTGGAGGTTTAGTACAAAAAAAAAGGATATGAAATCTCTCATTGATAACTTATTTATATTGATTATGTGTTAAAATAATAATATTTTGGATATTTCATCATGTTAAAATATAATATGAAAATATTTAACCCTTTTACTTAAAAAAAGTGGCTACTGAAAAAATTTAAATTGCATATGTTGTTTGCATCTGTGGCTCTCTATGTTTTTATTGGACAGTGCTGATATAGATAAAAGTTGGAAAATTTAAAAAAGTACTTTTTTTTTGAGACAAGGTCTTGTTCTGTTGTCCAGACTTGAGTATAGTGGCATAATCATAGCTCACTGCAAGCTTGAACTTCTGGGCTCGAGTGATCCTCTGGCCTTGGAATCCCAAAGTGTTAAGATTATAGGTGTGAACCACTATGCCTGGCCAAAAAAAATACTTTTATTGTAAATTTACATTGGATACCTTAGAAATTTATAGCTAAGTATAGATTTTTTTTTCTGGTCCACAGAAGATATTTATTTGATATAATAAAACAAAATAGTGTTCTATCCAACCACAAAGAGTAAAAGGAGTGAAAAATTTGAATATACACATACAAAACTCAAGCTGTTTAACGTGACAATTTTTTTTTTTTTTTTTTAAATAATGCTACTAGCTGTGTGTGTTGGCTCATGTCTGTAATTCAAGCATTTTTGGAGGCCAAGGTAGGAGAATCGCTTGAGCTCAAGAGTTTGAGACCAGCCTGGGCAACGTGGCAAAACTCGTCTCTATGAACATATACAAAAATTAGCTGGGCATGGTGGCACATGCCTGTAGTCCCAGCTACTAGTGAGGCTGAGGTAGGAAGATCTCTTGAGCCTGGGAGGTTGAGGCTGTGCTGAGCTAAGTTCGTGCACTCCAGCCTAGGTGACAAAGGGAGACCCTGTCTCAAAAAAAAAAAAAAAAAAAAAAAGCTTCCAAAATTCCTTAGTTATTGAAAATTATGTGAAAACAGAAGGATGTTAATAGCAGCAGAGTGCATGAAATCAAATATCAAATTTTGAGCAAATGGGTCAGGTGCAGTTCTTTCTTGCCTGTAATTCCAGCACTTTGGGAGACTGACGCAGGAGGATCACTTGAGCCTGTGAGTTTGAGACCGGCCTGGCTAACATAGTGAGCCCCCATCTCTGCAAAAAAGAAAAAACATCAGCTGGGCATAGAGATGCACACTTGTAGTCCCAGCTCCTCAGGAGGCTGAGATGTGAGATTGTGAGCTCAGGAGGTTGAGGCTGTAGTGGGCTGTGAATGGACCATCACACTTCTGCCTGGGCAATAGAATGAGACCCTCTCTCAAAAAAAAAAAATCTTTTTTTTTTTTGAGCAAATGAACATGTGAGACAATTTTGCTAACATTGCATATTTTTTTTTTTCTTGTTTACAATCTGCTCAAAATATCTTTATGCCAACTGCGTGGGCAGCACATTCAGGTTTAATATCAGTTACACATTAGCATAAATTTGGAGAAATACACATAGGGTATTGTTTTCTTTTGAGCTGGCAAAGTGACCACAGAAACATCAGATCATCTCTCTGAATACCGAATTTTATCCAAATAAATGTCACATGCCTTCCAGACATATTTTAATCACGTATTTAATTTCTTAGGCTGAGAGCAGTGTCTCATGCCTATAATTCCAGCACTTTGGGAGGCTGAGGCAGGAGGATCACTTGAGCCTAGGAGTTTGAAAACATCCTGGTCAACATAGTGAGACCCTGTCTCTACAAAATAAAAAAATAAAAAGTTAGTTGAGTGTCGTAGTGTGTGCCTGTAGTCCCACCTACTCGGGAGGCTGAGGTGGGAGGATCGCTTGAGTCTGGGAGTTAGAGGCTGCAGTGAACCTCTGCACTCCAGCCTGGAGTGAGACCCAAAGTGAGACCCCTATCCCAAAACCAAACCAAACCAAACCAAATCAAATCAAAACAAGAAACTTTCTTCATGTGATATTTATAGATGATTTGAATTTGAAATGACTTCAGCTTCTTAAACTTTGGTTGTCTTTTTAAAAATACCCTTGAATCTGGCTGGTTCCAGTCTTATGACAGCATGTTGCGTGAGGCCATGTAAAACATGAGGAGTTGTCCCTGAGGTTATGGGGCTTCCTAGGAAGAACACATGTTCTAGGTTTGAAGACAGAAGACTTAGGCTCTACCTTGGCATCCATAATGTGTGAACTTGAACTTGATTTAACATCTCTAAATCTCACTTTTCTTATTTGTAAAATGGAAATGGATGATGAACAGTACTAGCTGCCACGAAGGTCATAGCTTTCCCCTCATCCTTTATCACACCGCACAAGGTAGGTGCTCTTATCTCCTTTTGACAGGGTAGGAAACTGAAGTTCAGAAAGGGTAAGTCACTTACCTAAGGTTACATTGCTAGAAAAAATTGAAGCTAGGATTTGAACTCTGTTTTTCTGTCTCCAAAGTCAGCTGAAAATTGTTTTCCCCTACTCATCATGCCCCTTGCTAATTTCCTGCCTACCTCTGAGATTATTGGGAAGATCAAATTAGACTGGTGAATGGGCTTTGGAAAAATGTCATAAAAGATACAAATGTGTAATGATCATGAATTCTCAATGAAACAGGAGTATAAACGGAAACTCCGAGAAACACTCACAAACAGCTGTCTGGTGCTTATCTGTCTGTTTAAATGAAGTGAATATCACATGTTGCTTTTTCAAATTCAAACTCTGAAAGTCATATTACAGAGTAACAATTTCCTTCCTCAGGATAAAAATTTACAGGAATTCAGAGGAAAATATTTCAGTGGTCATTACTAAAACACTCAGAGTCAGATACATTCAGCATCATACCGTAAGTCCCGTTAGTCAAAGCATAAACAAGTGCAGAACCTGGCGGGGCTTCCTTCAAGTCAGTTGAGTCCGTCTGGGAGGATTCACTCAGCAAGAGGCAGAGGAACCAAGGCAGGATGAAGACATTGCCTGTGCTCGTGCTGTCTCTTACCTTACTGACTGTCTTCTCAGGTGAGCACTGACTCCAAAAACAGCCTATTTCTATGCTGACATGATAAATAATAGTCTATTTAATATTTAATTTTTAAAATTTTAAATAATATATAGGGTTTATAGATATTTCAATGCTTTTTCTTTTCTTTTTTTTTCCATAAGAGCCGGCTTCCAGAATTTTTATCATTAAAGTTACGTTATATATTTTTAAAAAAATCTTGAAATGTATTTGAGCACTAATTCTCAAAAATGCTGATAAATCTTCAGCTTCTGATAGCTTATTTTAGAGTTTATATGAGATCACCAAAATTTCATATATTTTTATTATGATAATGTCTTTTAGAATTTGCAAGTAATTATCAAAGCACTTTTGTACTATCTCCTTTGAGGGGTTGTGATGATCAAGTTTAACATAATCTTCTTATCACTGGGCACCTTCCAGTAATGACTTTAAACTTGATTTAGTGTATTGAGGATTAAAAAAACTTCCATGAAAGCAAGCCTAAGAGACACAGACCAGTGAACTGAAGATCCATTAAAATAATCCTCACTTTTAAAGAGATGGACCGTTGCAATCAGTAAATATGTTTAGGTTGTGCAACTTTTGCTCTGAGTTAACTATGCTCGAAACAATTCAAAATTGCTTCCTGAGCCCTCTGGAATGCTGCGTCCTTTGGGACAGGTCCCCGGGAAAGAACTTTCGTGTTTTAACCAAAATTGAACTTGCAAATCTTTTGCCTTGGACTGCTGGGATGGCTCATGAACTCCTGAACCTGAGCGTCCTTAAGGCACCTTCCCGACTTTTCCAGAGACCTCCCCGATTTTGACGGAGAAGCAGGCCAAACAGCTCCTAAGATCTCCGCGACAGGATAGACCAAGCAAACCTGGATTCCCCGACGAGCCAATGCGGGTGAGTGCTTCGCTCTGGTGGTTTTAAAGAAAATGTGATCATTTGAATGCGATTCGTTATGAAACTAGGTGTTGGTCCCAGCATGGGCTGCTAATTGGGGGTTTGGTTAGAGTTTCAGGTATAAGATACATGCAATCTCAATCTTTTACCTATGCATTTTCTCCTCTGGAGGTGCCAGCCCGACTCACCTGTTGTGAACAGGGTAACTTAAAATAGAAATAATGGGGCCAACAGTGGGAGTTCCAGAATCTGGAGAGGGCTGCTGAATGTCACCCCTGTCCTGCTTGCTGGGGAGCTGTTCCCTTTAGCTAATGCTAACCCCATCTCCTGCCTCTTCCCTTAGGCCCTGGGGCAGGCTAGACCAGCATCCTTGGTCAATGATGGTCTGTCCAGGCAGGGAGAATCTCTGCCCCAGCTGCCCGAGGAGTTCTGCTCTGATCTCATCTCTCTGATTTTGGTCTCTGGCCTTACTTCTGCCCTGTGGGGTCATGATATCCACCTGCCTAGTCTTTCTGAACCAGGCTTTCTGTGAGTAGATGTTACTAGACCCTGCTAGCTGGCCCCGGACCCAATTCAGGCCTGGCTTGGTTCCTCCTGTTGCTAAAATGATAGTGACTTTGGTGGCATTTTAGCCCCACGCAATGAAGGGAAGTAGCAGTGACCCAGCAAAGTTAGAATGTCTGGGAGGCCATGTCTGTCAGGCTGGTCTCCCATCCTGGCCCCTTCATCTGGGCACAATGCTTATCCTGTCTTCGCTGAATCTCCATATGGAGGCTCAGAAAGAGCTGCAGTAGCATTTGCCTTCATTCACTGCAAAATCTCACGCATAATTTGATTATTTCGTTTAAAGGCTCTTCTTAAGATATAGTATTGCACAGTGATGAAGAGTGCTGACTCTGGGGTCAGACTGGGTTTGAATCTCCCTGTTTTCTAACTGGGTAAGTTTGGGGAAGTTTCTTCACATTTTTGCAGCTCAGTACTCTCATCTATAAAATGGGGATAATAAATACAATTGCTGATATTACTATAATATTATTATAAATAATAATGTAAAATAATTATTTTATGATGGTAAAACAAAGTAATTCTTAGGAAAGCACTTAGAAAGTGCTCAGCAAATGGTAAGTACTCCTCTGAGTATTAAGTACCAGGTACCTGCTAGGTTCTGGGGCTGTAGGTTTCTGCTCAAAGTCTGTGGTGGAGACAGAAGTAAGCAAATGGCTGCTATGCAGTATGATTTAAGAACAGATGATTTCAGGCTGTTAGGGATAGATGTGGCTTTTAATTTTTTTTTTTTTTTGTAGAATAAGAGGTAGCTCAGAATATTTAAGTGCAAGGTTGGAGGGGACTGGGAGGTGGGCAGGGCAAGATCGAGACAGGTTTGAGTACCTTGGGTTTTATCTTGTGTCTAGTAGAGAACAACTGAAGGATTTTTCAAGTGGGGGGAGTACAGGTCTGGGTGTTAGAGAGTTTGAGACAATGAGAGAAGAGGCCCATGATTAAAGTCTGGGGTCACCAACACTCAGAGGTGGGCAGGGGAAGAGGAACCCTGAAAGGGCTGAGAAGGAATGCAGAGAGATAGAGAAGCCAAGAGAGTGGGGGTGGCAGAGCAAGGTAGGGGAGGCATAGGAGGGTGTGGGGTGAAGGAGGGGCAGCATGTGCACAACTGTGATGGGGAGGAGGATGCCTGGAGGGAGGGATCCTGTTAGGGAGCTCTGGCTGGCCCCCTGTGCTTTGGCAAGATGCCTGGAGCGGCCATTCTGCAGCTCTTCCTCAGGGACCTGGCAGGGGCTAGGGGAGCTGGTTGAAGGGTCCTCAAAGCAGTGGCTCCTGCTCAAGGTGCTCGAGAGGCAGCTCTGACGACTCCCACATCTGCCCCCTGACATTTCCTGTGCCAGCATCTGCACCTGGATCTTTTGAACTCTGTCTGTGGAATAACAGTCTTTGTCCTAACTGAGGCATTGTAGGTGTGGGTGAACAGGTGGGTTTGAACTGTTGCAGCCCAGCTCCCTGCCCCCCACCCTTCCTGCACCCTGTCCATATGCCAGCCTACATGCCAGGTTAGACTCTGGTCCTAAAACCCTATTTTGTGTGGTCCTTCACCTGCTCAAAAACTTCTGAAAGCTCCTTCTCTGTTTGCCTTTTCCCACTTGTGGTCATCACCTCCCTTAATCCTTGACAGCCCTCTGCTTGCTTCCAACTTTGAAATTTTACTGAATATCTGACTTTTTCTGGTTTGTTTTGCTCATCTTTTATGGGCTTGACCACCACCTGCTCCTCTTAACTGCCTTGAACCTACCTGATTAGTTTCCATGTAACTCCTTCTTGCCTCAGAACCTGTTGCTGAGCCACCATCCCGTCCTCCGTGTCCCTCCCAGAGACACTTGATCCAATATCCAGAGTCCTCAGGCACTCAGTCCAGTTTGGAAAAGTGGTCATAGGTTTTGCAGTTGAAATGTGAAACAAACATGCAGTCAATTATTGGGTGGCTAGTCTACACCAGTAGTTCTCATCCATGGGTAATTATGCCTCCTCATCCCCAGGGACATTTGACAATATCTGAAGACATTTTTGGTTGTTACACCTGTGTGGAGCATTGCTTTTGGCACCCAGTGGGTCCAGGCCAAGGATGCTGCTAAACAGTGTACACAGGGCACAGGGCAGCCTCCACAACCCGGAATTATCTGGCCCAAAATGTCAATAGTGCCAAAGGAGAGGAACCAAGTCTACACACTGCCAAGTAAACTTTTTCTTGTTTACTCTCTGTCACGCTGTGTATGTCTCTCTCTGTCTTTCTCTAAAATTGCACTCACTTGAACACACACAGAACTGGCTGAATCAACAAATAGTTTCTGGTATCATATTTTTTCTAGAAATGTGTTTCTTAACTTTGGTTACATTCTGGAACCACCTGGGGAATTTAAATTCTGATGCCTGGGTCCCCCTCCCAGAGGGGTGGCCTGGGGTGAGACCTAGGTATGGGGGATGGGGCCAAAGCCCCAGTGATGCCAACCTGCAGTTGAGACTGAGAACCACTAGGCTAGGCCATCTGGGAGAAATTGGCCACGTGTGTACCAGTTCCTGTGATCTAGTTGGGAACATAAAAACATTTAGAAAGCTGTTAAATGTTGAAGTGAGCGGTATGGAGAGTATCTTAGTTGTTTAGACAAAAAGAGAGAGTGAGAGGGTCAAGTGGTGGGTGCTGATCAAGATGTGCACTTAATTGGATTTTATATTGACTGTGCCCTACTAAGCACCAGGGACTGAGGATGCAAGATAAACCCGACATTCTTCCTTATGCAAGGTGCCCACTGTGTGGAGGTGGAGCCAGAGTGCTCCAGCCTGATTTGGGCTCACTAACAAGGTTATGTGGTACAATGAACTGTGGCTCTGCAAGCAGCGAGTCTCGAGCTCTAACTGGAAGGAAAGGGGAGGCTGGGAAGGCTTCCCAGAGGAGGTGACCCCCAGCTGTGGCTTGAAGGATGACTAGGAGTTCTCAGGCAGTGCAGGGGGTAGGGATGAGGTGGGAAGAACATTCCACCCAGTGCACTTCCAGGCCATATTCTGCCGCTAACTAGTTGTGGACTTTGGGTAAGTCACTCCCTCTTTTGGAAGCCTAGTTTTTTCATCCATAAAATGCAGAGTTTGGCTGGAATGTGGCCTAGATTCCAGAATGTCTAATTTCAGGTCTCATATTGTAGGGCTCTGGATAGAGCCTTGGGGCTGACACAGGTTTCTTGGTGCCAGTCTGCAGTGTGGCAGAAGGGCCAGAGGCAGCAGGATACCAACCCGAGTGAGGAGTCAGGCAGTTTATTTCGAGGCCCCTGGAGGGGTGTCCCTAGAAACCACAGGCCTCTCACCTCATGCTGGCCCTGCTGCCGGGAGTATTCCACATCCTTGACTTACTATTTGACCCACTCATGCCTCTTGGGTCTCCTTGTTGACTTCTTCTTTTATGGATTTACTGAAAGCAAAATTAATAATGCCAGTGACTGGCACGTAAAAAGAGGTAATTTACTGCATTTAACTGTGACTGTAAAAATGATCCTGGCCCTGCACTCCCAGTTGGAGCATAAGAGGCAGTGGCCTCAGGTTTGTCCTTGGGTGGTGAGGAGCCGATGAGGCTGGACCTCTGGCCAGGGGAGGTCAGAGGCTGGCACTAGAGCTGCCGTATGGCCCCACATCTTCATAGCCTGGGAAGGAGGGAGTTCAGAGGCTCAGGCCTTTGCCTCCTGGGAGCCAGCCCTTCTGGCTCTTTGCCTTTTGCAAGACCGCCTCACCCTCCCTGTTTCTGAGTGTAGGCCAAGAACAGCTGCGCACAGATGTCCCTTTGCTCGGGAAGAGGGTGGGATGGATGCACCATGCTGTGAATTTGGCTGCCAGTATTATGTGTGTGTGTATGTGCGTGTGACTGTGTGTGAGAGGTGTGTGTGAGGGATGTGTGAGGGGTGTGTATATGTGTGAGGGGTGTGTGTGAGGGGTTTGTGCGTGTGAGGGGTTTGTGTGTGTGAGGGGTGTGTGTGTGAGGGTGTGTGTATTCAAATGTGAGAATTGTATGAGGGGTATATGTGTCAGGAGTATGTGAAGGTGTGGGAGGGTGCATGAGGGGTGTGGGAGAGGGATGCGTGTGTGTGAGGATGTATGTGAGGTGGATGTATGGCAGGGGTGTGAGGGTGTGTGTGAGGGTGTGTGTGAGGTGTACAGGAGTGTGTGTGAGGTAGGGGGTGTGGCTGGGGTGAAAAATGAAATGAGGGTCTGTGCAAGTGTGAGGTGTGTGAGAAGTGTGGAGGGTGTGTGAAGGATGTGTGTGTCAGTGAGGTAGGGGTGTGTGGGGTGTGCGTGAGGGGTCTGTGCAAGGAGTGTGAGGTGTGTGAGAAGTGTGAGGGGTGTGTGTGAAGGATGTGTGTGTAAGGGTGTATGAGGGATGTCTGAGGGGTGTGTGTGAGGGGTCTGTGCAAGGAGTGTGTGTGAGGGTGTGAGGAGTATGTGTGAGGGGTGTGTGAGGGTGTGTGTGAGGGTGTGTGTAAGGGGTGTGTGTGAGGTGTCTGTGTGAAAGGTGTGTAGGTGCAGGTGTGTGTGAGGGTATATGTGTAAGGGGTGTGTGAGTGTGTAGAAGTCTGTGTAGGCGTATGTGTGTAGAAGGGTGTGTGTGAGGGTGTATGTGTGAGGGTGTGTATGTGGGGTGTCATTTGGGGGTCTGTGCAGGGTGTATGTGAGTGCATGTAGAGGGGTATGTGAGGGTGTATGTGTGAGGGGTGTGTGAGTGTGTGTGAGGGGTGTGTGTGAGGGTGTGTGTGAGGGGTCTGTGTGTGAGGGTGTGTGTGTGAGGGGTATGTGTGAGGGGTGTGTGTAGGGTCTGTGGGTGAGGGTGTGTGTGTGAGGGGGTGTGTGTGAGGGTGTGTGTGAGAGGTGTGTGTGGGGTCTGTGGGTGAGGGTGTGTATCAGGGTGTGGCTGTGTGGTTGTGTGTGAGGAGTGTGTGTGGGGATCTGTGGGTGGTGTGCATGAGGAGTGTGTGTGGGGTGTGTGAGGGGTGTGTGTGAGGGCTGTGTGAGGGTGTGTGTGGGGGGGTGTGTGTGAGGGTGTATGTGTGAGGCGTGTGTGAGGGTTTGTGTTTGTGTGTTTTGAAAAGGCCTTGCTGAGTGTTTTCCAGAGTCGAGTTCCAGCTCTTCTCTCACCTTGACTTGAGACTCAGTTGTGTGGAGTGATGGCAGATGGCATCACCAGGGTGTGAGGGGTGTGTGTGAGAGGTGTGTGTGAGGGGTCTGTGGGTGAGGGTGTGTATAAGGGGTGTGTGTGTGGTTGTGTGTGAGGAGTGTGTGTGAGGGATCTGTGGGTGAGGGTGTGCATGAGGAGTGTGTGTGTGAGATTGTGTGAGGGGTGTGTGTGAGGCTGTGTATGTGTGAGGGTGTGTGTGAGGGGTGTGTGTGAGGGTGTATG